GCAAAAATACATAATGGAGATAACACTCTCATGTTTTTTACCGTGCGCTAAAAAGTAAAAGGAGTGCTTTGAAAAATATTAAAATCGGCCGCGCTTTAATGGAGGCAAAGTGCAATAATGCGTTATAGGTCAATCTTCATTAGCTATAAACGGTGTGTCGCTTCGCTTGCGTGTGTGTTTAATATACACTCGGCTTTTTTAGAAATCGGTTACAAATAAATTATACTTTTAATAACAAATTTGACTAATAATCTCATAATTACGAGAATACACATTTTAATAAAACTTTTTAGAAATTTAAATTTTTAATAGTGCTAATCGCTGCACTTAAGATTTATTTCCTACAAATTTTGATGTTAAGAAAACTTATTTGCGGATTCTATTACGGGTTAGTCGAAAGTGTGACATCTTGTGAGCGTTAAAATAGGGAAGTTAGTTTTATTTTAATTGAACTATCATGAAGCCTTATTCGTACGGATGCCTAGATGCAACTGCGTTCCTTTCTCTCTGAAAAGAAATGATAACTTAACCTTGTCCACAATAGAAGCATTTCATTGTCTCTTCTGTATTTTAAATGCTTTCAGGGAACATCATAGATAAGATAAACTGTACAAGCTTTATATAAAGCTATAAAAGCGCCTTGTCTGCATGCATTTTAGAGAACGAAAATTGGATTTCGTATCCATTGGAATCGAATTGTTCTCTTACACAACTTTAAATATTAGAACACATAGGTCGACCTTGTGTAGAACTGAAAATTAAGAGATTTATTCAAAATTTTCTATTATAAATAAAATACTATATTGTTTTATAATATAACATCAACTTTTCATAAAAATATCTTTCACGTCTTATAAAAAATATTATCATTTCATCGCAGTAACTTTTTTAAATTGTTAATAAAACAAATATTACTACAAGTAAATTCTGCTGATCTAGGCGTGTCTTTTAGGACAAATCTCTACGGGTTCTTTTTTGACCCGTTATTAACTTCGTTTTAATCGAATCTTATTTTTTTTTTTAGAAAGTTATGTTTTTATTAGGCTTTTTTTTATTCGATTCAGGGCTAAAGAAAATGATTGATCTTACTACATTAGGTGGTTTTTTTTCCAAAGCCTTCATTGGATTCTTGATCAATAATATACCTAAAATTTAGATTAATGAAAGAAATTAGATTATAATAATTAATAAATAGTAAATGATTAACATACCTACGTTTTATTAAGATTTGTCATACATGAAAATAATGTGAACTTGGTATAACTGTGGTAAATTACTACCTACTACTTTTTATTGGATGAAACTGAACTAAATGCATAATTTTTTTTAAATTGAAACTAAATTTAACCGATATATCGAATCTTTTTCTCTATATATCGAGGCCTATATTGATATTTTTATAAATATCGATATATCTATATATCTTTTATTCACATTCGGCATCCCTAATAAAGGATAAATAACTAACTCAGTAAACAATAGGGATGATTTTAAAAAATGTTTGCAATATAAAAATCGAAATGGTTTAAAATCTCTTTTAAGTTGTGGCAAAATGCAAAACTTTGTTTAATTTTTTTTAATTACTCCAACGCTGGTCACGATTGGGCGCGAGCGAGTTCATCGAGTTGAAATAAACATTTTCACTTTTTAATTTTTATTTGCAGCTTTGTTTTGTGCTACTGTAAATCTGTTTTCTCGGAGTGAATGGCCAATATTCGTTTTCCATAAAACGTGAATTTTATTATCTTGAACAGATAGTTGCGTAGTAGAGTATTTCATTGCTTCCCGGGGCGTCATTGATTAGATAAAATTCTTAGTAGTTCACTTTATATAACGGTATTACCGTAACATTGTTTACTTATACGAGTATAGTAAATAAATGACTATTGGTTTTTAGTACCGAATTATTTTCTTATATACCTTTACGATTTAGTAGGTAGGTAAGAGTATTGCACACAAAACGGAAAATATTCAACTCAAAATGATACTTCTAAGAGACTTTTTTTAAAAAAATCAACTTAAAAAGATTATAAAAAATCGTCGCCGCTTTATGCGAAATATAAAAAGGATCCAGAAGATTAATTTTTTTTCGTTTTTATGTGAGAATGTGGCAGTAATGTTTAATTATTGAGTCCATTCAGAATGAACACTTTTCTTTCGTGATGTTAAGTGACAAGCGTCGCCCATGATCATTTGCAACACCCGTAGGGTTGCAGATGCGTCCACCTTTTAATAAAGTGGGCCCCGGCTACCTCACTCACCAGACGAAACGCAGAAGTATATCACTTCCACTTCACGTCGGTCTTCCGTGAGGTCGTGGTACTTACCCGGACGGAATAAAACTAAAAACACGAAATATATAAAGGACGAAATACTTGCCCAATTATGCAACAGCGAGGACTATTGCGTGGCCCTAGGACAGTTGATCGTCACAGATATATACTCCAAGGAGGTTGATATTAATAATAATATAGAAAAAATAAAAAAAAATTTCCAATCAGAAAATTGCGTGTCGCAAAAGGTAGAGTAGTCAATCAAAAAAGGTTGTAACTTGTCAAATACTATCTCCATTGATTATAATCACCAAAGTCTTGTGAATCACGTCATTTATCTCTGTTAGTCTAGATTTTTTTTAATAAATCAAGTGCGAGCTAAAGATCTATAGAGTATGGAGTGCACTCTACCTAAATTCTACTCTAAAATGTGGCATGCTGCTTTCAGTTGAAGTCAAACACTTGATATTTATTCCGCCTCATTCAATTTAGCGACCGTTAAACTCAATTGGAACGCCATCACTTTTCACTTTACGATTCTCACAACACCTCTTGACCGTTTCAATCTGCATTTCTAAGTCGTTCGTCGTTAAACATTTTCTATTATAACGTTCAAAAATCCAATGACATGTAGCGATAAAAATCATCAATCATTCGTAGTTTAAACCACGATAAATAACATGAACGGCATTGATTTTTTTACGGGCATTAACGCGATATCGTTTTCCTAACACACTGATCTGTAACGAAAATAATGATGCCATTAATGCCATAAATATGCCATAACAACGATTCCACAAACACCAATGACAATAAGGCAATTGTATTAAACTAATTTTTACGAGTATCTGTGAATTTGAAAGTAAACCGCTATGAAATCCATAAACAACTTTCATTAAAATATTTGCGGTAATTAAAGAAACTATGAAACTTAAACCGTTTTAATAACTTAAATTTTAATCGCCTGGCAAAGTGCATTGCTGAGTTTGTGGTCCATCTTCATTAATTATCAACATTTTGCGCCGATTTTTACCCGTTCGTGTCCATTGCGTAAAATGCTGCTGCTTTTAAAAATAGGCCAAAGTTAAAACAAGCTTTACAAATTGTACTAAACTAATTAACTTAGTACCCTGTGCAATCTACTAATTTTTTTAAATGTTTTTGCAACTAAATATATGACAATTATAATTATATTTTTTTTTTTTTGGGAAAAATTGGTAAGCGAGCAGGCAGTCACTTCATGTAAAATGATTACCGCGCTTAAAAAGTGGGCCCCGGGTACCTCACTCGCAGACGAAACTCGAAGTATAAGACTTTCACTTCACTCGTCTTCAATGAAGCCGTGGTACAACTCTGGGCGATGCCTGCCCATTCGTGCAACAGAAACTGCTGTGTGGCCCTACCACAGTTTAAATCATTAAAAAAAAACAGAGTCCTAAAGGCCTTTAGTATGTAAAGAGCATTCAACCGGAATAAGAAGACTCGAATGCCTTCTTTTCTTTTTCTTCTTTTTATCGTAGGCATCTTCAAGGCGAGAGTGAATAGGTTTTTACTGAGCTAGCGCGCTTGCCATCAACGCCAGTGGTAAGTGGCGAAACATCAACGGATGTATCGCCACTTACCATCAGGTGGGATGGCACTCAAGTGCTGGCCAGTTTTTAATGTAAAAAAAAACGTCAAATGATGCGTAATAATTTCTTGTATTTACGCGATTACACATTATAAATGAAACTAATTTTACGGATTTATCGCGTTTATTTTTAATTTTAATTCAATACATAGGTCAAACGAAAAGAGCAATAAAAACCCGCGTGAAAGAACATATAGCTGACATAAAACACAATAGATTGAACAAGTCTGCAGTTTGTGAGCACATTTTGAATAGGCCCAACCACTACATCAGGTTTGACAAACCACAGATCCTTGCAAAAGAACACCGATTCCTCCCAAGGATGATTCGCGAGGCTATTGAAATTAAAAAACACCCTAATTTCAATAGAGAAGAAGGTTGGGTACTACCATCAGCTTGGGATCCTGTCATCAATAAAATTAAATCTAGGCCCAAACGAACCACTACTGCAAGACAAGATACAATTAGCTCCCTCTGCATAGATCGGACACAAAATTAATAATTCAAAAACTGACGGTAGCCCGGGTTAACTATGACAATCAGACGTCTAACACCTCAGTCTGTCCCGTGACCATGAACGCTGTAAAGGGTTCGAAACATCGGGAATTAAAATTAAAAATAAACGCGATAAATCCGTAAAATTAGTTTCATTTACAGTCAAATGATGCGATCGAGTTTTTATTTTATTTTATTTTACAATTGTGGAATCAGTTGTCACTAGCGGTATTCCTGGATCGACACGACTACGGACCTTCAAGAAGAGAGCTTTTTCCTTCCTCAACCGACTTTTGTTACTCCTCTGGTGTTACGAACGTCCATGGGCGGCGGTGAACATTTACCATGAGATGGCCCGCCTGCGCGATTGCCTCCTTTTCCATAAAAAAACCTCCCGTCTCCTTTTAACGATTACACAGTGCTCACCATTAAGTTGAATTTAAAAATGACTGTATACTAAGATACACAGCCTAAGGATCAATAAGTGGTGCAGCCGTAAAATAGCTTCTACATTTTTTAGAGGCGGAACACCTCTGGTCGGTTCATCCTTCAATGCATTCTTGGTCGAACAAAATGGCTTAAAATAAACTTTCTGTCTCAAGGTACTTGGTTCTTGAACACGTGAGTGGCGGCGAGCTTTTCGACTACCTCGTGAAGAAGGGGAGGCTGACACCCAAAGAAGCGAGGAGGTTCTTCAGACAGATCATATCGGCACTCGACTTCTGTCACAGCCATTCAATATGGTAAGTTAGCACATCGCAGAAACGTTTAACAGTGTCATACTCATTAGCAACATCTGACATAACGCAATGTCTTAAAGACCTTGAAGTTAAGATATAATAGGTCTGGTTCGAAGCCCCACGGCGTGCACTAATCAGATTATGGTTTTTCAAATTTCCAATGGGCAAAAAGGCAATTGATTTGTTTGCTAAGTATGCGGCGATAGATTCAACTCTCAATCTCCAACTCAATCCAACAACAATCTCTGACTACCAAGTTAGGATCAAAAGACGTGAGACCTAATAAAAGCTGTTTGAGTTTTATTAAAACACAATACTTTTGTTACATTAAATAGGAGTTCACAGAACTTTAATTGACTTTGATTTCAGTCTCATCAAAGGTTTGAGACAAACTTGGATAAGCTAACTTTGGCTTTAATTGAGACATTTAATATTTAATTTTCCCTATTGTCTGCACCTACGATAAAACCTAAAAATGTACAGATAAACTGTCACAATTCGAATTCTGGCGGCGGCGAAAAATTGTGCTGTTTATTTACACATCTTTAGGTTTGACCAAGTCAGTTTATTAAATTAACCGTCTTTGCAGTCATAGGGACCTAAAGCCGGAAAATCTATTGCTGGACGAGAGGAACAACATAAAGATTGCGGACTTCGGCATGGCCTCCCTGCAACCAGCTGGCTCCCTGCTGGAGACCTCGTGTGGGAGCCCGCACTACGCCTGCCCCGAAGTGATCAGGGTGAGTGGAACCCCAGCAGGTGGTGACGCACCAATTCAATCGATTCAACATTTAAATATCAAAAGCAAATGTAATTATTTATTTGGAGATATCTCCTTTACAACAAAAAAGAACACACACAAAAATACATAAAAATAATAAAATATATACGGTCGAATTGAGAAACCGCCTTCTTTTTTGAAGTCGGTTAACAAATAAGCAATAAAGAGGCATTTCACAAATAAGAGGTAAACGGACTGATTCTCGATCACAGATTATGTAAGTTACCTAATTACCAAACTATCCAAACCGAAATGTTACTTTATTCCTACCATAATCCATACGGTGTAAATTTGCCTATCAGTTTTGTTAACATTTACATAATCACAATCATTATTAATTGTCAATCTTTCTTCATGAACTTGTGAGGCGAAGCCAAGTTGGTGACAAATGCAACTCGTGCGGTTTTGCGAATGTCCATTGACTGCGATACGGTGCGCTGTCTTAACGGTTTCCGACTCCTTATAAAAGACGATAGAAAATATAAACCTTGCCCTAATAAATCTTGTTTCATAAGTAGATATCGCATTTTATTAAATTTCTAACTAATGCAACTTGAAGTGGCGAATGGATTTTACCATCCAAGGTTACAAAAGAGAACTTCCAAGTCGAAGTATGCGACAAAATGTTAGAAAACTATTTCGTTTTCCAAAGGCTTGCTGCGTTAATTATTTATGTGGTATGCAAAGTATTTGGAGTTGCTTTGAAACGTCTTTCTGTACGATCAATAAAATTAACATTCAAACGATTAACCCCTTTGCAAACCAGGACCGCACGCAATTTTATCGGATCGGACCTAGGTACCTATGTTTAACACCAGTTTAAAAAGTTTCGTAATGAAATGTTTTAAGCATGGTGAGATGTTTTATGAAAGTAACGGGCGGGTTCCCATCTAATTATTTTTTAATTTTATGTGAGAAGATGGCAAGCGAACTGGCGGTTCACCAGATGTTAAGTGACAACCGTCGCCTATTGACATTAGCAACACCCGTAATTTGCCGATGCGTTACGACCTTTTAATCAAGTTGGTCGCAGCTACCTCATTTTTTGTTATTATTTCGAAAATATGCAGGTTTCACGATGTTTTCCTTCACATACATAATTAAAATTACTTAAAAAGAAATTATACTTTTTATCCAAATGTAAGACATTTTTACTACTTACAATAAAGAAAAATAATTATGAAGCTTAAAATGGTCGGAAATGACACAAGCCGAATTAAAACTTTCTCGAAAGCAAGCATTCTGAGTGCGACAAATAAAAGCTTACGTATTTTACCCGAAGTCTTTCCCGACGCGAAGTCTATCTCGCGAGAATTTCCCGAAATCCAATTTTAGCTAGCACCTAAAAGCGACAACGAGTCGGTTCAAATTTCAAGTTTGCCGCTTTTATATACTTAGACTAAGTGCTTTGACTTAAGTTTCATATCGTATATTTTTTTATTTTTAAGCTTTGAACATTTAAACTCCACCATTTCAGATAAATTAATCTAAGATTTAAAGAGATCATCGACAAACTCATACTCAATTTTAAAAGTTGAGGTTTAATCGTTCAATGAAGGAGAAAAATAAAGGGTTCCGTAAATAAAGGGGTTACAGGGTTCCGTACCCAAAGGGTACCTAGGAAGAGAACCCTATTACTGAGACTTCGCTCGATCTGTCTGTCCGTCATTCACTGTATCTCATGAACCGTGATAGTTAGACAGTGGAAATTTTCACAAATTATGTATTTCTGTTGGCGCTAAAACAAATACTAAAAAACAGAATAAAAATATTTAAATCGGGCTCCCATACAACAGGCATGACTTTTTGCCGTTTTTATCGATTATGGTACGGAACCATTCGTGCGCGATTGCGACTCACACTTGGCCAGTTTTAATACTTGTAATTCAAAAGCCTAGAGAGAGATAATAATCACGTTTACCTTTATTTCTAAAAGAGAGAGTGACAAATGGTGGAAATCTGATTACCTACCCTCACCCATAACAACATCCATGGCATTACAGTCGCTTTTCCAACAGTTAGAATGCTTCTTCTCATAAGAGTATGTGACCCTGTTGCCCTGTAACCTCACCAGATGTAATGCAAAAGTATAAATACTTTTACGGTTGGTTCATGCTACAGATGTCGCTTGACTCTACTATGAGAAAAATGTCTTTTGCTTGGCCTTAAAATGATAAGCCCGGAGAATACAAACGGAATATATATTACCATATTATACAGCGTGTCGTTACCATCGCGACAATAAATGAACACACATATAGGGGATAACTTTTTAAAGTTGTATTAAACATTCAAATTCTTTAAACATCAATATTTACAGAGTTATTAAATTTTCCAAAACAAAGAATTTTAGAACACCCTTACCTATAAAAGCGTAACGTAAAGTTCATTTGTAAAGGTCACAAAGCATATGAATGGGTTGAATGAATTTAAAAGAGACAAAACATACTGTTAGAAGGAGAGGAGAGAAGGGCTTTTAATACGACGCTGTGGCGCGTGTTGTATAGGATGTTACAAATTTTGTTTCGTTTTTACTTAATTAGTTTGTTTGAAAAATATTTTTTTTAATTATGGATTTGTTTAACGTTAATATTTTTTTATGATTATTGGCAAGTAGCGTTAGACGTGTGTTCATTTATTGTCGCGATGGTAACGACACGCTGTATACTAGATGGAGTGACGCCCTGTGCAAGTGTGCATGTCGATGGTTGCAGTCTGTGGGGGAGGCCTATGTTCAGCGGTGGACTCAAACAGGCTCAAATGATGATGACGACGATATACTAGATATACATATAGAGGGTACAAAATCAATTATGTGACTTATTTTAAAATTAAGCAAGTCCAATACGCAAACACAGTTCATCGTAATTATCATTTCAGCTTGTTCGAGTCCACCGTTAACTGCAGTTATAAAATAAATATATAATAGATGAATGAAAATGGATAGGGATGAAACAAAAAATTGGGGTTCGTTCATATCCGCTTTCACCATTCCCAAAGGCTGCATAATGAGGTCGGAGGAAGGTTTGAAGAGCCAACAAAAAATCGCACTTGAGTATTCCACCCAGTCCAATTAAAAAGTTCTATACTCTCCTACAGGTTGCCCTATATCAAATAAAATGAAGGACAGACCCATCCACTCACCCCTATAAATAACGAATGTAGATGGGTACTTCTGCACGATTTCTAAACATTAAAATGACTTCTCCGTGGATTTATAATCGATATAAAAAAGTAAACGCAGTCTTTTCGACTCTCGACGAACAGGATTTAACTGCTGTTCGCGCATTTGAGTTCACCCCTTACACCGCCATAGTTATATAATCTCGATCCCCACACGGAGAAAATACTTTTGTGCATTTACAATAATTAGTGTACTGTGATGTAATGTACTTGATTTTGTTGGCTAAAATATTTTCTTAACCAATATCATTTAATTAATTTCAGCGACACGGATTATGATGGTCGTATTAAAAACTTATGCATGTATTAAATTATATGGAAAGACAAATGCTTAATCCAGTTTCTGATTTATATTGAATTTCCTTTAATATTTTCTATATTAATAAGTTAAAAAGCATAAAAGTATAACAGTCATCTTTATGGCAACTGAACACTGTACGTAAACAGAAAAGTGAATACGTTATATTATGTCGAAACTTAAATCACTTTTTGAATAAACATTTAAATATAATCTATTTTCTCGTCATCTTGGGCATCGAACATAGAACCTCAGGGGTCGTAGGATTGAAGACGGTTTTCCCCTCGGGTTTTCTTTCTTAAGACCTTTAACACTATCCTCAATTTGACGAGCTCATAACTATCAGATATGAATAATCCAATAGTTAATCAAGAAACCATGATTGCTCTGTGTTCGGGCGCCCGCCTTTAATTCAATATACTCGAGCAACCAAAGTTCGATCCGCGGTGCCGGCACCAATAAAAAATTGTTAATTTTAAGTGCTGATCTATCACGTGTTTTGGAAATAGTAACAAAAAAACGTATTTCGAAGTCCGGCAATCCGCAGTGGGGCCGCGTGGTGGACAATGCCCTGATTAGGCATAGAGCGACATACCCAAAGACCCCCACGTCAATCTCGCGCTTTTCGCTGATGACACCGCGCTCTTTTATTCAGACGGCAACCTTAGAATACTAACCACTCGACTCCAAAGCGCCGCCGACCGCCTCGGCGATTGGTTCCGCAAATGGAGAATAGAAATAAATCCCGAAAAAGTGTGGTGATTCACTTCCCACGAAGTACTTACCCGTCACATCTTTATAATGGCCCTCGCCAATGCAGAAAGTTGGGGCAAATATCCCTTTATGGCTAACCGCTCCCCTGGGAGAAAAAGGTCAAATACTTAGGAGTCACTTTCGACTCGCGTATATCATTTACTACGCACATTAATAACGTTCGTAATAGAGCCGCGTTCGTCTCCGGCCGGCTACACAATTTAACTAACGCTAAAAGTAAAATGCCCTTAAGGCACAAATTATTATTATATAAGACCTGCGTACGATCTATTATGTCCTACGCATGCATGATCTTCGCCCACACGCACCCTACTCGCTTGTACAAGCTGCAAATAGTACAAAATAAGTTCATCCGCCGTGCAACCGGTGCACAGTGGTATCAACGCAACGTCGATCTGCACAGCGATTGCAGACTCCCGACGATTCACGAATATTTCAAAGATCTGACAAAACGGTTCTTCGATAGAGCCGAACATCATTCCAACCCTCTGGTGGTAAGCGCAGCAAATTACCAACCCGACACAAACGCGAACGTCAACAAGCGTCGCCCGCGAAACGTCCTCATCGACCCGGTCGAGGAAGGGGACTTCTTAGATACGCCGGACCCACCGCCGGGGGTCCCGCCGGATAACACTACACCCACAGCTAATGTAACAACAAACACAATAGTTCGCACTCGCCTCCGAGCACGGCAAGACCAACACAACGCGTACACAAGGTACACGCGCGTTCCAGGGCGGTTCTCACCGCCCGCAGCCACCGATTAGCTAAAAACACAGTCGACGGCCAACGGGGTCTCGGTCCGCACCGCAACTTCGATGGCCCTTAGATGACATGTCGTAGTTAAACGCACGCATGAGCACATGCGCGGCCCTACCCACAGCGGAGGGCCCAAACCCGTGGGTTCTGGCTAGCCCACCGGTTCTGCGTCAGATGAAGCTTTAATAGTCTCGGGACTGAAAGCAAAAACATCAGTTAAAAAAAAAATGATTAGGCATGAGATATACCTGCAACATTCTATACCCGGCCTTAAAGGTACGGGTATCGCCGTATACCCGGTGCTAAAATCCAGTATCAAAATACCTATAGGTATTAGTTATGTTCAGGCCTCCTTTTGGAGACGCGGTCGAATCAAACGAATTGAACCTTTGGTTGGAATTGGAATATTTAAATGTTTTTGTTTGCAATCAGTTTTTTTAAATTGAGATTTAATCAGTCTAAAATAAGCTCCATCTTTACTAACGTAAAGAACCCTATTATCAAAAAAAAGTAATTCAAAATAAATATTACTGTGTACTGTAACCTTATTACGCAATTATTTATTTAACTCTGATACCCTCTGTACAGAGGAGGCCTTTGCCCAGTGGGAAATGTATAGGCTGTTACTTCACCATCAGCTAACTCTACCTACCCCACAATACGTTAGGCATTAACATTGCGTCTTTGTTATGAAGTATAACTGTATTTAAAAATATTCATATTTGGCATTTAAATCTTATGCAAATATAGGAAAGTTTAAAAAAGGATTATCATTGGCTGCATTTTTAGAATCTACCTGCAATATTTAATATATTCACGGAGAAAATTATTTAAAGTAAGTAACACACAAGAAAGGTATTTAATACATTTCCAAAAAAAAAATACAGTAACTTATGAATGTCACATAAGGATACAATAATACAGAATACTGTAATAAAAATCTACCACTTAAAGTAAATGAAACTAAACACTAGTGTAATACCCTCCAAAACTAATTAAATAAACTAATTAAGTACTTTAAGTTAAACAAGTTTGAGTTATAGAAACAAAACAAGATAAATAGAGTTAATATTTCTAAAGCACCTCAAATTGTACTTTTGAGATTCTTATTTAAATCTCTGGCAAATGACAAATAAAAACAATAGATGTACATGTAGATTCTATAAACATATGAGGACATGTCTTGTTATCACAAACTAATTGTACATATAATGTTGATAAAAGCTTTAAGTACTGTTGAAAATGTAACATTTTTTAATAATAATCATTGTATTAATAGCAAAAATTCCAATTTTGTCAACTACTAAAATTTAATTCATGAACTTTCCAAAAACTGTTTCTTATCAAATTTTTGGGATATAGACTTTCCCAAAAGTACATTTTATCCAACTATTCCAGAAAGTACGATTTACAAAATTTTGTGAATTTATTATATTTTTAAATACAAAACTGACACAATTCACAAAGAAATGACTGGGAATTACAAATAAAAAAAAGTTAAGTAACTTCCGGCTTGGGTTCTTGAATATTTTTCTCACAATGAAAAAGGAACTATTAATTTGTATCAATTGAGCACTTCCTTTAGGAGGGGTAAAACTACAACTAAATTGAAATATCCAATTTCTTACTACAGAGGTCAAGACAAACTTTATACCTACAGGTTAATATTATGGTAAAAAATGTAAGTGAACTTTTTAAAAGTAAACATAATGTATATGAGGTAGCCAATCTGTTGAATTCTTGGTAATGAAATTATAAAGAAATACAAAAATTGTAGGTACTATGAAGTTTGGGTACAATTTTGTTAAACTTTTAAAATAACTATAAAAGGCATTAATTAAGTATTAATGGCTGTAGTATGATCACCACTAAACACATTAGGGGCCCTTTTTCCCCCATCTCACTTTAAATATATCTTAACATGTTCCGATTACATGAAAAAATGTAACATTAACTTTCAGTTAGTCGTCATCCACCCTTTGTTTTTTGCTGGTGTTTGATGGGGTTTGAGGTGGAGAGCAACCACCTGTATCACGTCTCTTACTTGAGTGTCGGGCACATGTGGGCCCAGACAAACGCATGGAATTCGATTCGCGTGTCGGTGAAAACTGCTTGAGCATTTCAACATCGTTGAATATAACTTGTGCGCCACCGCCGCAAGTAGGGACAACATCACCCTTGTACAGTTTCGTTTCTAGTTCACCGTCCGTGTCCTGTTCCTGAGATATTAGGCAGTACTTGGACGCCTTCGAGTTCGCAATATCCTTGACACTCGTCAGTTTGTTGACTTGCTTGCTGTGACCTATGCTCGGCTTCATGACAGTTCCCATCGGGACAATCTTGTTTGGCGCGTGCTCAATCCATCCGCGGCCATCCGCTGACAATGACCGTCTGTGACGTGGGTTGGCGACTGCAACACCGCGACGCGACGAAGCTGGTGTGTCTTTTGTTTGATGGGCGGAACTAAATGGTGTGAGCATGTGCGCCGGCAACGCTCTAGGCGTGGAGCCAGGCGTGAAATCACGGGCGCTCGTTTGCGCTGCAACATCTCCCATCATTTTAGGCACGGCATCAACATTGTCGCCTCTATCGACGTTTAGCGCCTGGGCTATTATCCTCAGGCGGTTCTCCTTATCTTCTATCGCGTTACGCAAACGTTCCTTCTCAGAATTAATCTCCTTAGCTTTTTCGTGTTCAGCAGCAATCTTATAATTGTATTTTCTTTCTAAAACCTTCTTTTGTTTTTCTTTATCTAGCTTGTTCTGGCTGAGGAGCAATTCTTTGTCTTGCAACTCGCGTTTTAATGCCGAAGTGTACTCGGTCATTTCATTCAGTTTTCTTTGATGCGACAGAGATGCATTTTCGGTTGCTGTTAAACGCTCCTCCAGAGCTCTTATTCGTCGTTCTGCAGATGCCAATTGTCCACGCAAAGAAGCATTCTCACTTCTAACTTCAAGTGAATCTTTTTCCAAGTCTAATAATGCTGATCTTAGCCTTTCATCTTTTATGGCTTTGCTCCGTTTTAAAGTTTCTCTACGGCTTATTCTCATTTCCAAATGTGCCATGAGTTCTTTGATTATATGAGCTGCCTGGGAACTATTCAATTCAAGACTGGGGAAATCAGGTCCAAGACTGTAGACCAACCCCAAATCAAGTTCTAAGTCTTTGGCTTCTGGTCTTATGATATTATCTCTGGCAGTTGTAAATAAGCGGTTTGCTTTACGCCTACCAGACATTAAACCTATTGCTGCTGCAACATCTGTAATCTGTGGCTTGGCAACTTCTACTTCAGCAGCCATTTCTGCGAATCTCATTACCTGAAGGGTTTCATCATAATCTTCAGCCCTAGGATTTGCACAGACTATCATACGAACTTGACCTTCACCCTCAAAGAAGTTTTTAAACAAATGAGTTATTTTAGATTCACGGTATGGTACCATATTATTTGTACCATTGATTTGATTTTCTCTTAAAGCTTCTAAGCATGTTCTTAGAGTCATTAATGATTTATTTATATTACCAGCTTCTCTTAATCTTTGACCAGTATTTTTTGTCCTGTTTGTTCGCTCACTGCCCGCTAAATCAACAAGACTAAGTTGACTTATGTTCAAAAATTTTTTATTCTGTATCACAGCTTCTCCCATTTCATCAACTGGAGCCTGCACCAATCTAATTGTAAAGACAGAGTGACTTCTGCTTGACTCTGCATTTAGATTTGTATGAGCCATGCGTTTGCGTTTTAAGCCTAGATAGAATGCATCAAAAGCCTCTTCTGCAGATTTGATTTCGATTTCGGTTACTCCATGGACATACATATTATGAGCTGCATCTTCGCGAATTATTTTAACTGGTAAATTTTTACTAATGGGTGGACCATCTTCCAATAAGTCAAACACGCTGTTATTGTATATTTCTACATACGAGACAAATACGGCATACTGGTTGTCTTCATTAACACCATCCACTTTTGTCACGTCTGTTGAGGACATGGCTAGATCTGGATTAGAATTATTCTTTTTACCTGATTTAAATTTATGCAGTTCCTGCTGCCTCTCCAACATAGCTTCAGCTTCACTTTGAATATCGAACATGTTCATTCGATCAGGTTTAAAGACATATTTGTGCGCTTGCAAGTCGTTAATAGTTTTAAATATAATGTTCAAACAACGCGGCAAAATACCGCAGTTTTGTGGTTCACCAGTCATTGTAAAAGTTTTGCCGCTACCTGTAACACCATATGTGAAAAGTAAACCATTTTTTCCCTTAATAAGCCCTTCTACTAGAGGCAAAGCCACTTTATCGAATACTTCTTGTTGTGAAGTTTCTGGCGGGAACACCTCCTTGAATGTGTATTTCATAGTTTTGTTGTTTTCATTCTGTAGCTAAGTGCAGTTGACGGTGGAGTTAACAACACAGTATTGGATGAAATTATCTTCATGCAGGAGTTATCTATTTCCCTTTGCATAGGTCGTAGTCGGCAAAAAACTTGCACTGGATCTCGATCTGTGGGTGCCAAGTTCTGTTTACTTCTAGCCGGGGTTCGCATTTCGTTTAGTCTTTGTTTTGATCGCGCTGACTTCATTTTCAATTTTAATATCACACGGCTCAAACTTTTAAAATACAATATATCTCTCAACGGTTCGAACTTCGATAAAATTAAATCAACGGTCATCAGTGACGTTTTATGCCAAAACGTAAACTGTAAAACTTATAATGACAAGTGGAAAAATTACAATGGACCATTTAGGTTAAGAAAAAAGCTGGCTATCTCTGTCTTACATACATAGTTTTGACATTTCTTTAATGCTAACGAAATGTTTTAGAAGTACTTTTCAAATATGTTGTATAATAACGGACAATCAAGGTTTGGTGTGACATATAATTTGTAAAAGTTGCCTTATTTTGTTATTTAACATTGATTTTATGAAAATGCTTACTTATATTTTATGCTGCCTATTTTTAGTTCTTTTATTTTATAAAAGTCACAAATAAGATTTCTTGAATTGTTTCTTTAAATAAAGCTTCATTTATTTATTTATTATAATAAAAATTTTTTGCAACCATAATTGCTTACTTTTAAAAGAATTCAAGTAAAAATGTATTGTATTAGAAATAAACCATACTTAACTTAAACATTTAAGGAAACGTAAAATATATCCGGCAAATAATTATTTTACACTGTGTACCTATTTCGTTGGCAGATTTATATTTATCTGTATGTTGGAATAATATTTATTGTTGTAATTATTGGCTCAATGTAATAAATAAATTACAAAGGATGTATTAAAAAGGTTGTAAATAAATAAATTACAAAGGAAGGATGTATTAAAAATATTTAAGTTAAATGTCAACAAGTTGTCATTGGTTGCCATAGTAATTAGGGATGCAAAAAGTGAAAAAATATATCGATATATCGAAATTAAGAAAAATATCTATATCGGCCTCGACATATCGAAGAGAATATATCGATATTTTTTTTTTAGGCCCTGTCTTTAAAGAAGAAAAAAAAGGATATGCCAAGTATTAAATATTTAAATGTACGGACTCTGTCACGGATTCAAATTTGAAAATAATATCGGTTTTGATACGATTTCGATATTGAAGCTTTTATATCGATATTATTTCGGCATCCCTAATGGTAATATCATGAAGTTAGCCGAAGACGTCGAACATAAGTTGGTCGCATAATCGCATTACAAATGTCAAATACAAATTACATTATTACAACTAACTTCATCATGTTGCTCTCGGAGTGTCGGTGTGTGCTCGCATCGTATAAATTTTACTATCATAATTTTATTCAAACGCGCCAAAAGAAGTATAATTTCAAAATACACTCGATTTAGTAATATAAACAATAGAAATTTAAGTTTTCAATAATATTCTAATTTGACTTAATATAAGATAACATTTTACACTAAATCGCTTATTTATCTTGTCTCTTGGTTTCAGGGTGAAAAATACGATGGGAGACGAGCAGATGTGTGGTCCTGTGGTGTTATTCTATATGCACTTCTCGTTGGAGCCCTGCCTTTTGATGACGATAATTTGCGTCAATTACTCGAAAAGGTATATGTACTATATTTCTTAGCTAAAAAAAAAACGCATTAATTTCATGTTTATTGTGGCATGTTGTAGAAAAACATTTACCATACATTATTTCAAAATTAGTTATCCACACGTTTATTATCATAAATTCAAAACATAAAATAAATTAAAGATTAATAAAAATAATTTTATTTAGATTAACACTGATTTGTTATTGAAAACAAAATTATAGAATGGAAAATTTGGTGGAAAAAATGGTATTAATATGTTATATTTTGGTAATTTCAGGTGAAGCGTGGTGTATTTCATGTGCCACATTTTGTGCCACCCGATTGCCAACAACTTCTTCGTGGTATGATAGAAGTGAACCCAGAGAAGAGAATGACTGTAAGATATATTTTAAAAAATGTTTGCCTGTATTTCAAGTTGTTCACAAAACCTCTTTCAACTTATTATTTTATATTTTCAAAACTTGCTTTAACTTTAAACTACATTTAAAACCTTACATACCCCTACATACCCCAATTAAAACCTTTTACAGATGTAAAGAATGTAATGTAATTAGAAAGATTTAAAATGAAAGAATTTACCTTAGTAAATGGTAGAAGTTAGATCACTGACTAAACAATGTATTGAAACATGTTGAACTGTGAATTAACAAATTGATTTTTGTGATTCCAGCTGGCAGAGATAACTCGACATCCTTGGGTGACAGCTGGGGGCCGTGGTGAATTAGAGCAGGAGCTTCCTATGATGGAAGTTGTCCAGACCCGGGTCTTGCCCTCTGCTGATGCGATAGACCCAGACGTGTTGCAGGCCATTTGCAGTCTGGGTTGTTTCAAACAAAGAGACAAATTAATACAGGAACTGCTTAGTCCACAGTAAGTCTTGAGTTATAGAATTTTTATTTTAGTTTTAATAACTATTATTGTTAATAATAATAATAATGCTTTGTGGAGTACACTGCTGCCAAAATTATCCTTCAATACGAATATAGAATATAAAATATAATATAATATATTATTATATTTTTTGTTCTATATTATTCAATTTTAATGTTTCTTAGTTCAGTATTTTCTTCTAAAAATGTTACATTAAAGTCATATACTGCATACTAATAATTACAGAGATGTATTGCCCCAAATCTTGTTATTATTTGAACTTAAATTTTCTCTTACCTTTTTATTGTTTATTTTGTTTCATGTGGATCCAAAACAATTATGTATGGTTTCCACAAATACTTTTCCAGTGTGGGGATTGATGCCAAAAGCTTGACAACTGCGCCACTGAGTCATCAAGCATTATATATTGTTACATTCAATAATCCATTACAGCCATAATACGGAAAAGGTCATCTACTTTCTACTGCTGGAGAGGAAAAGACGCAGGCCTGCAAGAGACGACGAGCCTCGCCCGCCGGCACCCGCAACACCGGCCGACCCTCCCAGGAAGCGACTTGACACTTGTCGGGTAAGTTTTGTATCAACAAGTTTGCCATCATTATATCACAGAAGTTATCCATCGGAATTGTCGGTGATTAGTTTTACGTGGAGCGATTGCCATCTGACCTCCAAAACCCCATTTTAGTGGTAAACCATGATGTGAAATAGAGTTAGGGGGAGAGGGAGAAGAGGGGGGGGGGGGGGGGGGACTGAAAAGGATATGGTAGGCGGGGAATAGGGCACAACTTTCATGGAGTAGATGGACAGGTAAAAGTGGTGGCTCGAGGACCTGGGGTTGTTCAGATATTTGGCAGAACAATCCTGGCAAGAGCCAGGATTAATGCCAGGCCGAAGAAGATATCATAGAAGTTAGCAGAGATGCAACAAAAAACTGTGGTAGGGCCACGCCACAGTTCGCTGTTGCACGAATGGGCAGGACCGTCCGGTTAAGTACCACGACGAAGTCTTCAAGGCAAGAGTGAATAGGTTTTTACGCCCTGGTGCGTGAGGTAGCCGGGGCCTACTTTATGAGGTGGCAACGCAATTGCAACGCTTGCGGCGGTTATTACATAACATCATATAATCAGTTTTACAAGACTTTAAAGTGCCATAATGTGCAAGGGAGATAAAATGAGATTAGAACCACAAACTGATGACTTTTTAATCTTTTCTTATCAATTGCTGAAGTGAATTCATAATATTGTGACAATAAAAAAAATAACAGACTTTACAATTCAATTGTTCATTTTAAAGTCTGACTTATCACATTCTCAGCTGGGAAGGAAAATATTGTGACAGAATTTTACTACGAAAATTAAGAGGAACTAACTTTGACCATGCTCATATGTTTAATTTTTTTTAAATATAAAGTTTGGTTGGCCTCATCTTGCCAGAATGGTCAGAGAGCGCTAATACTGTATTTATTTCATTTCTGTTCTTTCTTGAAGCTTTACTAAAGTACTAAATTGTTAAGTACTACATATCTTATTATTCTCCATTGCAAGTAGTAGACTGTTCTATAGTTGTTGTATCAAACTCCACAGTAAAAACAAAACTTATTCCACAGGTAAATGGACAATCCGCTCATTTTGGACAGATCAGTGAGGGTTCACCCATTACTCCGAGAAGATCACAGATCAGGTTTGAAGTGAAAACAGTTGGAACTGCTGTAGTAGAAATTTTACTGATTTTAGTGGTGTACAAAAATGGTTGGGAGAGATCGCTTATTCAAGATGTTCGATAATTTCCTTATAACCAATCAATTACCATTTAACCGAGAATCTTACATACAATGAAGTAAACTAATCAATGTCTTAAATTTTATTACAGTGTAAAATAAATCAGGAACTTTACTACTACTACTGCCAATGATTAAAGGCAAAGCAGGAAAAAGTTTAAGGAATATAAAAAAAAAATATTATTATGTAAATATTCTGCCATCACTATCACTGGAATCTTTGAGCTGAACAATAAAACCTTTTGGCATAAAATGGACAAGGGACTTCAAAAACATGCTGTATCGTCTCATACTCCTACATAACTCCCACTATCTGTGATGCTAATTATAAATCATAGTTAAACAACACTCATAACTTAATTTTACAGTCCATATCAAAATATTAATTTTATGTATTTCTTTTGCAGTAGATCCTCCTCGGGACGGCGCGAAGGCCGCAGCTCACCGCAGCTGGCGGCCAGCCCACCCGGTGAGACAAACATACAGACGGACACTCATAAATCCACTCCCGATAAGACCATCAAAATCCAAAACTTCTAGCACTATGCCTGTCAATATATTTAATGCAAAACAGTTTAATATTTGTAAATGTCAAGATGACTCCGGCTTCGGCGTCGTAGGTCGTGGGTTCGGTCCCCACACGGGACAACTATTTTTGTGTGACCCATAGATAGTTGTTTTGCATCGAGGTGTTTGTCCGCATAAAGTTTATGTTAGCAAAACGTCTTTACAACAAAGGATAATGTTATCCTAAAGTAAGGGCAATGTTTTTCCAATGCAAAAAAAGAGACAAAGGTATCCAAGGTTTATTGTGGAATTTACAAATCCATGATCCTTTCGGAACTCTCGACAGGAGAGAGAGTTTTATTTATTAGGTAAAATTTCTGTTAAATGTATGCTTTTAGATTTGTGCACACTTCCAACAAAAGGAATGTTTTGGAAGAGTATGTACATACGTGGTTCTTAACAAATTGAACTTAAATTTCAGCTGGCCACACACCGCACCGTGTCTCTTCACTAGGGGGCACACCTGCCACGCCCGGATCTCCACTTGGTAAGTCTTCAACTATTCTACTTCAAGATTTGTATACTCTTTTGACGAAAAGGAAACATCCATAAAAGCTTAAACTTTACATTTATGAGGAACTAAGAAGTACTAAATTATTTTGTATTAGGGTCAGATCATCATATACTTTTATATTAATAATGAAAAAATAATAATAAAAAATTCCATCTCTCTGCTTCTGCTTTTTATAAGGACCTTCTTAAGTGCCATCTCATTGCATGCAACAATCAACACAAGTTTTAAAAGAAAATATTTCAATTCTAAATCTTTGACTGATTTGGAAGAGCATTTTTTGTAGGAACTATACAGCGTGTCGTTACCATCGCGACAATAAATAAACACACGTCTAATGCTACTTGCCAATAATCATAAAAAAATATTTACGTTAAACAAAATCCATAATTAAAAAAAAAAATTTTTCAAACAAACTAATTAAGTAAAAAAGAAACAAAATTTGTAACATCCTATACAACTCGCGTCACAACGTCGTATTACAAGCCTCTCCTTCTAACAGTATGTTTTGTCATTCAACCCATTCATATGCTTTGTGACCTTTACAAAAGAACTTTACGTTGCGCTTTTATAGGTAAGGGTGTTCTAAAATTGTTTGTTTTGGAAAATTTAATAACTCTGTAAATATTGATGTTTAAAGAATTTAAATATTTAATTACACAACAACTTTAAAAAGTTATCCCCTATATGCGTGTTCATTTATTGTCGCGTTGGTAACGACACGCTGTATATTATAATATGATATAAAATTTAAACATACGATACAATTATATCTGCAGTAAGTTGCGAGAGTACCTTGTATACCTAATTTATTTATGCAGTAAAGTTTGATATATAACCAAAGTACCTAAAGCCAGGTTCCTCATTGTCGGTGACAATTAGGATATGTAATCGCATCATTATTGTCAATTCATCATCGTTTCCTTTTATTTCAGCGTCGCCGTCAATGAGGGAACATCACCACCAAAGAGCCAACTCCACCGGGCCAACTATAAGCTTGAACATAAGTCAGTATGAATTAATTACAACCTTTACTCGTACAACTCTATGTATATAGCTCTATGTATACAGTCTACTGTTAAGTTTAGTCCAAATTATTTAATTCATTGTTGATTTAATTCAATGTTATTTGTACATGACATTGTAGTGTTATCTTTAAGATAATAATTTTTTATAAAAAAAAACCGGTCAAGTGCGAGTCGAACTTCTATGCCGAGGCTATAACCTACCCATTATACCGCCATAATTAAATTGGAAAATGATAACCACCAATCTTTTCAGGAGCGGGTGAGCCCTAATCCATTATCGCTGATGGATAAAGTAAAGATTGCTATGCTAACAAATAACATATCACATAGAATACATCTAGTATATCTGTCTAGAAATTATACCCTAACACCTTTATCGCTGATGGATAAACTAAAGATTTAAATGTTTTTACTTTACAGGTGGAGAGCCCGGGGAAGCTGTGATCATAATCAACGAGTCACCTCTAATGGGCTCTTCGGTGGCTGTCAGGCCTCACAGCCCTTCGCAGACTCATCGAGGTGGGAATCACACTTTGGAAAGACAGTTCATTATGATTTAAGATGAATTTGTTTTATTGGATAATTTTGTTTTAAGTGAAAAGTTGGCATGCGGCGGTTCACCATCTATAATATATAAAATTCTCGTGTCACAGTTTTCGTTGCCATACTCCTCCGAAACGGCTTGACCGATTTTGATGAAATTTTTTGTGCTTATCTGGTATCTATGAGAATCGGCCAACATCTATTTTTCATCCCCCTAAATGTTAGGGGTAGTCCACCCCTAAATTTTTTTTTTATTTTTTAGACAAAATTTTTAATTTCTATTTTTTTATGATACAACATACAAAAATACATACAATCCTCAATTTTCATCCCTCTGCGCAGACGTAGTCGCGGGCAGCAGCTAGTATGTTATATTTAAATTAAATTTCACATATCTATAATTGATATAGAAGCATTACACTTATTTATTTTAATTGTCAAAAAACACCGAAACACCGGAAGAAGAACCGGCGAAAGAAACTCAGTGGCATAATTTTTGTAATTTAATATTACATAAAAGCATTCAGCCGACGCGCGATGTGAAAACTCTTATCGACGTAGTTAGAAGTAGCCGCATAGGCAGAATTCCGAAATAATTCAATAACAAAACCTTTCTTTCGCATTAAAAGTGTACATTTATATGTCTTTTTTTAATATTTCAGTGAGAGAAAGGTCGTCACTGCCTGGACCTACCAGCGCCGGTCAGTCGCCGGCCCAACCCTCGATATTCCCGAATCTCGGCACATTAACAGGTATTATATGTATGTCCCCGCTTTCAATGTTGTCTCAATTAGCTTCGTAGATAGTCTAATCAATTTACAGATTATATGATATGACGCGCCTAGAAATATGGCTCATTTAAACTAAGAAATATATTGTGACAGGCTGACAGGTCTCGGATAATTGGTTAATAACTTTGCTACATACGAACACATTGAGGAAGAAACAAATGTTAATAAAAAAAATACATGAAATAAGATTACCAGTAGACATTAAGAAAAGTCTATTTAAATGTTTTAAGTGCTAATTTCGACGCTTAAAGTGAAACATTAAAATTTGTAGAAAAAATGGACAAAAGAAAAGTTGATCGCCGACGCTTTAATCACTAAGCGGTTAAACAAATTATTATAGTTGTAAATTTTTTCCTATCCCATTTTTTCCACTAAATTAAAAAATCCATAATTAAAAACAAATATTTTTCAAACAAACTAATTAAGTAAAAAATAAACAAAATTTGTAACATCCTATACAACTACAACTGACTGATTCATACATTCAGAGACTTTATCATTCGTTGCCACAGCGTCGCATTACAAGCCTCTTCGTCTAACAGTATGTTTTGTCTCTTTTAAATTCATTCAACCTATTCATATGCTTTGTGACCTTTACAAATGAACTTTACGTAACAGTTTTATACGTAAGGGTGTTCTAAAAATTCTTTGTTTTGGAAAATTTAATAACTCTGTAAATGTTGATGTTTAAAGAATGTAAATGCTTTAAAACAATTTTAAAAAGTTATCCTCTATAGGTATGTGTGTTCATTTATTGTTGCCATTGTAAAGACACGCTGTATAACAAAGCTATAAAGCGTTCCATACATCAGTGACCGTCAATATAGCTCGTCGATCGAACCCCGTAAATGCGTGCGCGTGTGCGTTTGCTCGTACGTGCTGGGTGCGCATGTGTGCGTGTTGGGTGTGGCTGTGTGCGTTTGCTCGTGCGTGCCGGGTGCGTTCATAAGCAAAATGTATAAGTAAGAGTAGTGTGCCCGTCGGCAGGTGGCGCGGGGGCGGGGGCGGGGGCCGGTGCGGGTGCGGGGGCGGGAGGGGGGGGCGGCGGCGCCGTGGAGGGCGCGCCTCGCCACCATCAAGAACTCCTTCCTCGGCTCGCCGCGCTTCCACCGGCGCAAGATGCAGAGTGAGCCTCCGTTTTATGTTTATTTTTTAACCGACTCCAAAAAAGGAGGAGGTTCTCGATTATTTCAAGGTTACAAGTATTTACTATATTCAATTAAAGACTTATTCAAAGAAAGGTCAGCTTCTTACTCTATACAAGGCTCAAGTCCGATCGTGTGTACTGTTGCCATATCTGGGCTGGGGCTGCAAAATGCCATCTGGCTGCCTTGGACTCAATGGAGAGGCGTGCGGAAAGGCTCATTGGTGAACATAACTTGATTAAAACCAATCTCACTAGCCTTGAGCACAGGCGCAGAGTAGCCAGCCTCTCGGTTTTCTGTAGGATACATTTTGGAGAGTTGGAGTTACATGATCTTATTCCTCCCGCCCCTTTCCATCATCGGACAACCAAGCCTACGGCGGGGCTCCACCCTTATGCTGTCGACGTTCCACGTACACGAACAAAGCGATTCGCTTAGGTAGGTTAGGCGATAGGTTTTTACTGAGCTAGCGCGCTTACCATCAACGGCTGCACCGCCACTTACCGTCAGGTGGGATGGCAGTCAAGTGCAGGCCAGTTTTGAATTAAAAAAAAAGACGTGAGTTAAAATAACCAATATTTAATGATTTGGTCTATTTTCCCAGCTTCGTCAGAAGAGGTTCACCTCACTCCGGAGACATCACCAGAACTGACCAAGCGTTCATGGTTCGGTTCGTTGCTGTTGTCCGCTGACAAGGAGGAGACCTTCACCGCACTGGTCAAGGGGAAACCCCTGGCTACAGTCAAAGCCGATCTCATACACGCCTTCCTCAGTGTGAGTACATTTTGTGGTCTAAAGAATGCTCCCTGAATGAAGAAAGCACTCTTGGGATAATATCCCACCTAGGTGATGTCGGCACCATACGACTGAGATCGGAAAATAAATTTTGTTGTTTTACGAAAGAATACACTTAAGGTATACTCGTGTCTCGAATCAGCATTGAAAATGTGCCACTAAGCATGATAGCATTCTAGTCTTTAATAATACCTTCGTTCGGTAGATAATTCTTACATTGCTAATTTGCATATTGAATGAAATGAAACTTGAATTTTTCCTCTCAAGCAATAAAAATCAACCTAACACTACATATTAAGTGCCGCCTTTTTTATAATGAAAGCTACGATTTTAAACCTCCATGTCAATGCCAAAACAAAATATATTTGGTGTACTAAATATATATTGATTCTTCTTGTTTTGTACATTGCACCATTTATAACATAATATAATTACATTTATATAAAATATAAAAAATAAAAATCATAATAAACATGTTAATCTGTTCACCTCATATGGTATGTACTTGTCATTTTAAGATTAAATTATATTAATTCAAATTTAAGAAAAACTTGCTCTTTCACCATTTAACTCCAATAGTGTATAGAAACTTCATGGGTGTGCAAATTACTATAGCATCCCTATGAGATCCTTGTTTCTAAATCCCTTAAAATGTTGTTCAGTACATAATCTATGAGCCCTTTAACTTGTAACAGACAAAGAAAATACTGTTTGAAGTAATTCTCCTAAAATATAATTGTTCCATTCCACAGATAGCAGAGCTGTCGCACAGCGTGTTAAGTCCGATGTCCTTCAGGGTGGAATATAAGAGGGGTTCTAACGCGCCCGCCATGTTCCAGAGGCATGTTAGATTTCAGGTATGTTTTTTCAAACATATCTTTGAATTTAGTATATTACTTCTGGAAGAATTTAATTATACTATGTTTTGTCGAGACGATATTGTAAAGCGCCATCTATCGGAAAGACCAAAGCAACAAGTCAGGCCTTTAATATTTTTTTTTTATAAATGAAACATAAATAATCTGTATATAAATTATGTTACATCACTAAATTTTTGCCCGCGGCTCGGCCCACATGTTTTATAACTTGCTTGAAAAGTAATTACGGAACCCGAATTTCGTGTGCGAGTGCGAGACTTGGTCGATTTTTTTGAACTTTATATAAACTTTCAATCATCATCATTTTACAGACCATCATATAAATAGTTAACTATAGTTTTATCCAATTCAACTGTAGTCTTTATACAAATCTTCAATGTTGTTCTTTAAGTTGATAATAGTTTTATGTATTTATTGTATGTATTGTATTTATGAACAGATTTATATAAATCTAACAGTAATTGTTAAGTGAAGCTGTAAAATTGTTTGGGTTAAGCCGTTTCTGAGATTAACGCACAGACAAAAATTTTAAAACAAACAGACAGAGAGAAAAAAAAAATTAACAATCATTGTTTTGGGTTCTACTGTGTTTATACAGGCCCATAATAATAGTTTCCCTTTAGACAACGATCAGTTATCATTTTATTATATATAAAGATAGTAGAAGACAAGATTTGTAAATTCAACTGAGGGAATAGGACAGATGCTTTATTCGAAACCCCTTTCGAAATGACAAACGCTCAAGACAAGCTTGTACCTTTTGTGAGGTAAAATAAAAGTTTAAAAATAGTTATGAAACTTTTGTTCCGAAATCCGCCCCGATCAATTTGCTGAGACATCAGCTACTAATAATTTTTTTTTAAGTGTAATTTATTTTTACTCTGTTATAAATCATTTTAATAAATAAAGCGGTTTATAAATTATTGAAATCTTAGTAACAATGATTGAATTCCAGGTTGACATATCCACGATAACCAAAGCTCCCGGTGAAAATGGAAAAGAGTATTTGTACGCAATCACTTTCACTTTACTATCTGGTGAGTAATATTCATTGAAAAAATAATGTTTATGTTATGTAGAATAAAATTGTTTTAGAGATTTTATCCCAAGTAAAATGTTCAAAATTTCGTCAAATCATTTCATTCAACAGTGATACTTCATTTCACCGACACCTACGCCCAATTCAAACTTGCTATGTATAAGAAAGCTCACCTATAACCGGTTCCTATATTCAACGAAAGGCCGTTAGTTACATAACTTAGTAGCTTTCATAACGGTAACGATTTCATAATGACAATGTAACTAACGGCCGTTCGTTGAATATAGGAACCGGGATTTAGAGCGGCGGTTTGAATTATCTGGCTCGAAGGACCGACTTTGATATTTTGATTTCACCGACGTCTACGCTCAACATGGCTTTTTGCTAATATATAAATGATTATTTAGAGTCACAAAATCGTCCCGAAAGACCGATAGCGTAATAATTTCGTCTATATATACGCTCAAGGCGGTCTTACTGTTTATAATAATGCTTACTTAGTGCGGTGGTCCTATGGAGGTCTATGAGGGCTCATCTAGGTAGGACCAATTTGTGTGACCCCCCCCCCCCCCCCGGCAGGCAACATCCGGCGCTTCCGGCGCGTGTGCGAGGTGGTGCAGGCGGCGGTGTGCCGCGCGCCGGGCAAGGGCCGCTCCCCCGCCCCCGCGCTGCACCCCCCCTCGCCGCGCGCGCAGAGGCGCACCATCCACCCGCACGGTGCGTGCCCCGCCCTATGTGGACTTTCATTATATCTTATAAGCAGTCGCTGTTAACAAACGGATACAAGGATACTGTTCATTTTTTATTGTTAGTGCTAGTTGATGAACTTAGGTGGAATATGTGTGGAAGGAAATTGCATCGCGGGCGTCAGGGCGTGTTGATGCGCGTAGAGTGCCTGCAGAGCTAATTAGTCGATGCCCTCACCACGCGATAGTGTCGAACCCTCTCACTGGCAGAAGAAAATTTTTACTCCTTGAAATGTAACAAGTCTGTATCTTACTTCAGAGTTGAACATTGATTTATTTATGATTGAAGGGCAAAATATTAATAAAAGAAAAATATAACAATAGTAACAACCGGCATTCGCTTAGCAATTTTTATTCTCCACTTTTCACTTCTAGCATGTTGTGTGCGTTCGCTTTCCAGCCGCCGGCGAGATCCCGGACAGCCCGGACACGCCGCAGCAGCAGTCCGACCACGATAGCGACTCCTCGGTCTTCGACACGGTGAAGAGCCCCAGCCGCTCCTCGATAGACCAGCTGGACCAGGTGCGGTAGAACACCACCTTGGGGCACGCCAACCCTAACTGGGTGGATAGACGTGTTTAGACGGGAAATAGCTTTTTTTTATGTAAGAAAGACCAGGTGCGCTAGAACACCTCCCCGAGGCACGCCTGGGTGGATAGAAGTGTTTAGACAGAAAATAGCATTTTTTTTATTTCTACGTAAGAATTTGGCAAGCGAGCTGGTGGTTCACCTGACGTTAAGCGATAACCGCCCGACATTTGCTACAATCGTAGGTTTGCAGACGTTTGAATCTAACGAATGCAACTTCTGTGAAATGAACACGGTGACAAATCAAAACTAACGCTCTTAGCCCTAACGAGATATGCAAACGCATCGTATAATATGGAAATTCACTCTTAGGACACACCTAAGATGGAATTATTTAAATGGCACAATAATTTTAGAGCAGTTTTAGCCTAACAGAGTGGAAACCGAAAATAAGTCAGAGTGGAGACAGAAAGTAAGTTTCGCCAATATTGTGGAGTCAATGCCGTGACGTCACAAATTTGTGAAATCACACCTCAAAGTTGGGCGACTGTTGTTTATAAATTATTCATAATTTCTTTCGGCTTTTCATTTTTCAGATGTTGTAATCGATGTTAAATTTAAAAATCCGTACCCCACTATTGTTTGCTGCGAATTTTGTTATGAATAAATTGAGTTAACAAAGTGCGTTGTCCAGAACGGCACACACCCGCTTGGCTCGAGCTCGTCCGTTACCAGCGGTTCCAGCGGCTACAAAGTAAGTATATACACTATTACGTGCTTTATAAAATATAAAAGTTGCCGCCTTCGCAGTCTTCTGTATACCCTTGATTTAGTTCGCGTTGATACTCACTTTTCGCTTTCCGATTCGTAATTGTTATATAGATATTGTGTCACTTCCGTTCTCCATTTTTATTCTCATCTGCTTGATGAGTTTCTTATTACTAACAAAAGATTCATATTTGATCGCAGGGTTTCTTTCCTATTCTTCTTTGGATGGTTCCTGTGCGAATTTTTGTTATTAGTGCTTATATATATTTTAAAAAATATTTTTCTGTTCGGAAAAGAAAAGCCATTGGGAAGAACCGGCGTAAGAAACTCTGCGGGACATATTTTTTTTAACATTACTTGAAAAAGAAACAAGTTTACAATGTATCAAAGTCCACTTTAAGGAGCCATAGTCCATTGGATCCATTGGGACATAAATACGAAAACCTAGTAAAAGCTCATTATTTGGAACTGTGAATTCATGCTTTCCTTTTTTCCCGAAACCTTAGCCTATTTCATTGATGTATAAGTCTTCATCCTGTGTTTATGGCTGATACATGTACGTCTCACTCTGCTCTTTTCTCTATGTCTCTTTAGTAATGGTTGTGAGTAATGGGTGAGAAGAAATCTCATTCAGATCGTTAAGACCGCCTGTTCTGTAAAAAGAATTACAATAATTATTTTTACATCCATTTGTAATTGGCACTTTTTATGTTTTTGGTCCACAATAAAGTATAATAGAATAAATACGCTGTCACTTCACTTTCGCATTACATTAGTTATCTTTTTCCCCGCGTCTCGATATCGATTCGGCACAATGCGTATGTAATCAGTCGTGCGATTGCAGCAGAGTGTCCGCGGGCGGCGCGCCGCCGAGCCGGCCTCCGCCTCACTCGACCACGAGATCATGAGCTGCGGCCGCGACCTGCCAGGTGAATTGCGACCTTATTGCTAGCGCCGTACGACCGCTTTTCGGACGTTATTACTAGCGCCGTATGAACATTCTTCAGACCTGACAGGTGAATTGCGACCTTATTGCTAGCGCCGTACGACCGCTTTTCGGACGTTATTACTAGCGCCGTATGAACATTCTTCAGACCTGACAGGTGAATTGCGACCTTATTACTAGCGCTGAAGGAATATTTTCGGACCTGACAGATGAATAACGACTTTAATACTAGCACCGTTAGACTATTCTTCGGGCACATTGCAATTTTTATTTTGTGAGGAGGGGGCTGGGAAGTAAGTCCTGACGACCACTAAGACCTAGAATGTCTATGTGTGTGAGGTGATATCTATGGTGTAGTCTTTCCTTCATTGGCCCCTTACTGTATAGGATAACATTATCCTGTATTGTAAGGACAAGGCAACCATGTTAATTTCAAAATACAGGATAACATCGATTATCGATCGACGAACTCTGGTCCTTCGGACCCGCCAGATGAGTGGCGACTTTAGGCAAATGTCCGGCCAGACGACTATCTGCCTTACAGCAGTAGTGACAAGGGCGAGTTTTGCAGGCACGCACACGAAGCGGTCGTCGTCGGAGTGCCGCGAGGCGGCGTGCTCGCCGCGGCGCGGGCTGCAGCCGCGCGACGAGCTGCGCCGCAACAACTCGCTGCGCGACTCGCCCGCGCTGCCCCACCCCAACGCGCCCCTCGCCTGAGCGACCAGCCCTCGCCTCGACCCGGCCTCACCCCGACTCGGCCCAGCCCCGCCCCTACTCGACCCGACCTAGCCTCGACCGAACCGATCCTTCCCTGACCTCGACGCGACTCGACACGACCCAGCACCGACTTGACCCGACATTGCTCCGACTCGACTCGACTTGGCCCGACCTCTCTTCTACTCGACCCGACCTTGACCCACAACCGGACAAATCCGACTGTAGCTAGAATGTCTACTTCGAGACTTTATTTCGCGAGACCATTCCGACCGCTGCTTAAAAATAAAGCAGGGCTACTAACTAATAAAGTAGTAGAGTGATCTAGATAAAGAAGGATTTATTTTTATGCATTACTTGTGAGAAACACTGTCTCATATCTGTTCCCGCTAACAACCTCTCATTTTGGAACATCTACTACCACGTTGGGATAAAATTGGAAGTTACGGCCTTAATCAGTCAATGTGATTTTATGCACTGGTAGTAGAAAATTTCTCAATCGAGCATATTAAGGCGTAATTACAACTCAATGTGTATATGTTTCGATCTTACCCCTTGAAGGCACATGTCGAGAGGTTTATGGGTATGTACACAATGGACGAAGGAAAAATAAAATTACAAAAGTGAGTTTTACAGAATTCCGAATAACCATATCGGTCGAGGCGACGAACTTTTAACTAAATGACAATTTAACTGGATTTGGAACGCCGTTTTTACTGTGTATGTATGTATATATTATATCACGGTTATGCGTTGATGGTGTTCACTGATGGAGGATTTGTCACTCTTATGTCAAGTAACCATTTAATGAAATAGCCATATAGGAGCAGCCTACCCCGTTTCGACAAATATACATATAGCTATAACGTAGTAAGCTTGATATTATTGGACGAGTGGGAAAAATTATGGTCGATATTAATGGGAATGTTACATAATATTAATTATTGAAATAAACCGGCCATGTATTTTAAAATGTTTAATAGAGAAAAAAAGTAACGCTATCCACAGTACTGAATTATCGCTAATTTTAATTAAGGCCCTATATTATGTGTAACGCTGTATTTTTGCATAAATGTGACAAATTATAATAAAATGCGAGATTACCTTTCACCTATCGTTAATTTAGCCTACGTTTAGTAGATAGTTTATTAAATAGTTTGGCACCAGGAACTAAGTATTGTATTCTACTAAAGACACGCAGACAAACAAAATTCTGTAGCGCCCCAACTGTCCTATGTGTAATTTATTTTTCTTTTAACAATTCTATCCAGTTTAAGACACTTAGCATAGATAATAGAGGACTTCGTGGGCCCTGTGTTGTCGTTTTTTTGTTCACTTAGTGTTGCCACGTTGAAAATATTAGACAATTTTTGGGTAAACACAATATTAGAATAAATGTATATATGTATTACATACGCCGTGTAAATTTTGTTTTGTTCATGGATTCATTGGAATCCGTACGATATTTGTGACTAAATCAAACGGCACGAGTTGTACGAGGTTGTCTTCGTGCGATAAGCGACCTTGGGGAAGTTGTAATAAAGTCTAGTTTAACGTTCGGTTGGTGTTTCGGACTTGCCCCGGTGTGTTGTTGTTAATGATTCTCAATGTAAATATATTTAGGTGATGTTCCCGAGAGCGATTTCGAACGCGGCTGAAAGGGAAGGTGGCTGACGGTGGAAAGAGATAGTATCATACGACGCTTCGTCATATCGACAGAGATGGCAATATGTAAGCGCATCGCTTCGTACGAAGATTGTATCGAGTTTATTTTTTTAAAGCGACGAATATTTCTAGTTTTTGACGCCCGCGGCTTCCAGAGGCGTTGGTTTTTTATTGGGGCTAGATTCCAAAGCTCATCCAAATATATCGATGTTAAATCCTCGCTTCTTAAAGTATCCCGTTACTAAATCTAGCGCCTTCCTTTCAACGACTCCGCGTTTAGTATACCTCGTCGTGTGACTGTTTAACGCACATGAAGTGATAATTAGTCAAAATATTTATTGAATGCATACTGTCCGTATGTTCGTATTTTATTTACTCGTATAGAAATGATTATAGCGGAGGAAGTGACAGACTTATCTATGTTTCTTTGACAGGGTTTTGGTTGGTACCGTTCTTTGGTTGTTTGATTGATGACTCCCATGACCTTTTATATTATTGGGGTACTCAGTGGTTGAGGAAATTACAACACGACGTTTTAATTTCCTTTCCAACCTTCTTGAGGAAATTACAACGTTTCATATGAAGCGTGCGTAGCTTTTATGGAATTTCACATTTTTAACCGACTTCAAAAACAGAGGTTCTCAATTTGATTTTTTTTTATGTTTGTTACCTCAGAACTTTCGACTGGGTGAAAAGATTTTGATGATTATTTACTTATTCGAAAGCTGGTGCTTCCCATGTGGTCCCAATTTCATTGGTATTGGATCTTGGACTCCGGAGATACATAGGGAACTCCTCACAATGAATTATAAAATGAATACAGAGCGACATATTTGAAGACGGTTTTGTTTTTCGTTTATAAAAATATGGACTTTTAAAGAGGCACCGTCCATTTCGGTTTGCTTTTAATCATATAGGCATTAAATAGATCCATCTGTCATTTCCTTCTATGCTGTATAGGAATCATTGCTTTCTATGGCACTGCATATTTCTTAAAGTCCTAATATCAAATTACGACACGTTTCGTTCAAACTATTACAAAGTACTAATCAAATTATTCCAGTCATATGTTATTCATTCAGCGATTTGTAAGTTACAACTAGAGTTTTTTTAAGGCCGTTTAAAAACTCCGTCCTAAAATCCATAACCACGTATCCGATATGTGTACTAGAACATTTCACACTGTTTGATCAAATTTTTGGATGATTTTATCATTAAATTTACGCACCGAATACCGGAATTTTACCACGCCGAGCTAATTCTTATCCGTAATAACTTTGTGTTTAAACTGAAATTTTAGGAAATTTTCTTTAGATGTTTTGATAAATTAAAATTAACAATGTCAAATGTACTTCCAACGTTCAGAATAGTTTCAACGAGTTCTCAACAGCCTCCAAGCATTTGATTGGGTTAGTTTACCCTCGTCGTTGATATTAGGACATCCGTTGTGTTAGATAGGCGATTGTAGTATTAGTGAAATGTTTCCATATTCTCATTTAGAATCTCGCATAGTGCAGGTTTCACTCAAAAGTTTTGTTCCCCATTTTTGGTGTAGTCACTTAAGGGTTATGTTGAAGTGTAGCGTTGTTATTAGCATAACACAAACTTAGCTAAAGCTTAACGATCGATATGAACCGTGATGTACAGGAGTGTCTATTTTAATAAAAATATATTGGGTTTTTCGACGTGTGTACATAGTTAAGCTGCCAAACGCATGAGAACCGTTACGTCGTGTTACGCGCTTCTATTAAAATTACACGTAACAACGACCGTATTGTTTAGTGCGTATTTTATTTTGGGCATTTCGCATTGCCAACGTTTCCTATTATGTGACGAAACGTTAAACCTCCTCAGTTTAGATGAACAATGATATTTTTTTAATGATATTCCCCTAATTTTGCGACGCAGCGTGTATTTTATATGGCAATACTAGTCGACCTGACTCATCACATATCACCTCTCTGTCTCTATCGTTATAAGTAAATTATATTTATGTGAAAAAAATAGTGCATGAATGGGTGTTGAACAGATATACTGTTCGCGCGGTGGTGTAACAAAGAGGGCTGCAGTTAGCTTTATTAGGCTGTGTAACGAAGAATTGTTTGAAACGTAATTTACCCGGCAATATGAATAAACGATCGTTTGCTAGCTCTAAAGTTGGTTGTCCGTCCACCGTCTTAAATGTTTTTCGCTTATTCTTTTGAAGTTTACTTAATGCGGGACAAATATTCAATCCTAATTGCAGAGCCTTGAGGTTTTCAAAAGTTCCCATTACCCGAAAATTTTGCAGTCCCGGGGTATGATTAGTCGATGTTTAAAATAGAAACAGCTTTGCAATTCGAAACAGGACAGTTGCTATAACGCATCCCTCTTACGTCAGAAACCATCGTGTAGTTATTAAATATCTTCCATTATTTGTCTAAATTAAACACTTTTCTTTCCTTATCAATTAAATAAATTATAATCACGAATTCATTATTACACTACAATATGCTCCGTTTAAAAAGTAATCGGCGTTGAAAAGTTGTGCGCGAATAATTTGTGTAAATGCCTTTATTGATATAGAATAAATAAGTAATCGTATATTTTACATTAACAAAGGAAAGATTGTAATTTTGTACTAGGTTAATTGTTAAGACTTTGCGCGGGAAATGTTGCATCTCCTTTCATATCCTTTCCGGTCGGTACAATTGTTTAAATATTTCGGAAAAAACTAAATGTTATTTTAAACTTCTTGTTTTTCGTTTTAGGAATTTCTTTTATAAATTTAAATTTATTATCTTGAGCAGTTGTTTTGTTTTTCTTTATTGTATAAAATGTATATTTTTAATTATATAATTTGTGAATTTATGAATTGTTGAATTTTCGCCTGTGTACCGACCGAAATATTTACATTTCCATTTACATAATATCATGTGTTCGTAAAATCATATGTAATATAATGACTATAGTAATTTGTATCTGTTTTAATTTTGTCTGTAAGTGAAATTGTTTGTGAAGGTGTATAATGTGGAGAATTTCATTGTGAAATGTTACATCGGAAAAAAAAAGCTTTTTTAAATAAATTTGTTCGCGAGACCAATCTCACAAATGGATGCTGTAAATTGTACTATGATCCTATGCTATGCTATAAACATGTACTGTAACTGCTTAAGAAACTTATTGGTTAACATTGAAAAGATAATAAAATAAAAAAAAGTTTAACGTATTTTTATTTAGCCTATAAATTAGTTTCGCCGTTATATTATTTGTTATTGAGTATCAATTGAAGAAAAAACAGTAAACAAATACAGCTCCCAGATCACCCAACTTCGATTATTTTTTACATGCCTTATACACTCAAAGCATTATATATAATTATATACAGCATGTCGTTACAACCGCGACAGTAAATGAACACACATATAAAGGATAACTTTTTAAAATTATTTTTTTTTAGTTATGGATTTTTTTAGTTTATATTTTTTTTTATGATTATTGGCAAGTAGCGTTAGACGTGTGTTCATTTATTGTCGCGGTTGTAACGACACGCTGTATATACAAGAAGTAAATATATCAGCAGGGGTGACGTGGGATTATCCCATCTTGGTGGGATCGGCATAACATGTACTGTGACGCATATTGCTAGCGACGTTGGCTCCAATTTTTTTGACAGGCCACCTGCCTGACTGACGTTCCTTTAATTTTCATACCCACATCTGTGCTTAACAGAAATAACTGTCCCACGTATAAATAGAACCCACAATCCCCGGAACTGGAGCCAATGACTTATTTGGAAACAAAATGTATGTTCTTATTGTTTATAATGATAATACATAAATAATTATATATCTCGTTAAAGCAAACATTAGAATCATTTTATATCTGCACTAAAAATGGTCTGCAAATGTCGTAGAAAATTAGGAAATTTGTATTTTTTAGAAATCAAATAAATCTATTGATTTATTTTATAAAACACATAGAGAAGGTGAGAACGTCACAAGGCTTGAAGTAAAACAAAAACTGATTTTCAAATATATTTCAGTAATCAAAATATAATAATAGGCTTACACATTAATAGTTACAAATCGTATCTCATGGCGTGATCAATTGTTCCACGAAAAAAGAAAGAAGCGAAATAATCCAAAACCCCCTTACGAGCGCTTAAATGCTATACAAATGCGTTATATGAAGCCCCAAAGAAATTCTATATCACAAAATTTAAACATTCCTCGTAAATAGCTGAAATCAAATAGTAAATTATTTACATGCCGATAAATTACAATTTTCCATAGAGTATCAAAGTTTTTTTTTTTACATAAAATGTCAGTGCACTTTATTCACATTGTGGAACGTCGCTTAATTTATTAATTTCAAAAAAATTAATCAAGCGGCCTTAACAGCTACACTGTGAAAATATTCGTCTCAACGTCATGTGCAAATAACTTTTTTTTTACCTTATGAAATTAATAAAAAACGAACAAAAGAGATTGTGTTTCACTTTAATATATACCCGATTCAATTTATCTATCGCTATTTATTATCTTCGGTTATATTTTTTTTTCAAATCAATACTTTCGTCCTGTATTTTTTTGTTTTTATTTTAAAACGCGGATACACTTATAAAATATGATTGTATATAAATTATTAGCTAGATGTATTTACAATAGTCTTTTTGGGCTACACTTTAAAAATTTTCTTTTAAAACAACAGTTTCATTGTAGGCAAGCATTGACATATCAATTCATAAAGTCTTACAAACTATATTACCCACGAAACAAACGAAGACACGCTGTCGGAATATCGCGAGACCAAATTAGTAAAAAGAAAGGTGCTCTGTGTCAGGAACTCGAGTCTATTATGTACACGATTGGTATTACCTTATAAAGTATCGTTTATATCACAAATAAAATTTCAAACTATTATTCTCTTCGTATGAGCAAATACACTTTAAACCTACTATTGGTCAAGATTTTAAGAACGATAGCGTTTTGAAATTGAAGCGAGATGGGACGTCAAATAAAGGTGTACTATAGTACTAATTTAAATTAAACTTCAACGGACACATTATTTTAAGATGAACTTTATCACAATTCAGCTTCAGAAATACCTTAAAGATATCAGCTTGTTAAGCATAACGGAGCTTTTTCTGTATCGACGATAATCGCCGCTCAAGAGTATGTACGGTTCGTTTAAAAATATAAAAACGAAACCACAAAAGAAAGTATGGACGTATTCAGAAAGAAAAATGCTGAGCATAATAATTTTCTTCTACATTTATGTCTATCTAATTAGATTTAGACTTATTTCTTTTATCTGTATAATATCTAGCATACAGTACAAATGTATACTCGAAAGCCTTTCCCCTTCTATAAATAATATTATGTATATTATTATAGATATATTGTACAGTACATAGTCCCAGTGGATGTTCAACGCAAAATGGCGAATCGGCGTTTACGTTTCAATCAGGATTTAGCCGTCGGAAAGAAACTTTCAAGTTTCAGTTAAAAAATTACATAAGTAACATTATTAATTTAAAAATCGCACATCCCCCCTCCCCCACCCCCCGCCAACACAGTACCCTCTTTTTCTATTTACAATACGATCACGTTGCTTCGTTTCTTTTCGACATTGTTTAGTTCCCGACTAACCTAGAAATAATAATATAAGAAATATCTGAAATGGCGTAATGTAGTCATCCCGCGCGCTCTCGTAGCGTAACTTTAAGACGGCGCCACGCAAAAGATAAGTACATTACATAAAACGCATTCAGATCAATAAATACTAAAATTACCTTCGACAATAACCTAAAACCTCTTAAAAGTAAGAACGGATCGAAAGCTGCCAAAGATACAAAAGAACAAAGTAGAAAGCCGCCAACGACAAGTCGAAGAGCATTTTCATTAATTATTCGTAAAAATTGCGATAATTTCGTAAAAAACCGAACGAGCGAAGGAAAGACGCGCCGAAAACGTAATGATGCCGTAGCACAATGAAAGCGACACTAAATTTACCATAATCGAATAGGCTAAGACATTTGTAGGCGTAGACTTGGTCTGTGCTTCAAGAAAATTCTTACCGACACGCGTGTGCTTTATGAAATGCTTAAAAACTAAGACGTTGATTGATGGAAAAATCTTACAATAAGTGCATTTCTTAACTGTCACTGTCAAGACAATGTTGCCAGTTATGAGGGAAAATGATAAATAGATTAATAAGCACTGGTATCAAATACTTTTCACGTGGTCCATATAAATTGTATGTTTAAAATGATAAATCTAGCTTTACGAACTTTATTTTAAAACGTAGAGAGGCTTACCAAACGCTATGAACATGTAAAATAATAGAAAATTCATTCTTTTAATAAACGCAAGGTATCACACATTTTCAATCCTTGTGACTGGCAATAATGACTTATATGGTCTACAATTAGTTTTTAAACAAGACTACTTTCCGTTCGATTTACTGTTTAAATGTAAAAAAAAAGACACGCATTTGATTGGCCGCCACCTTTACCGACAATTCGGGGCTGGAATGGCTAGCGACTGAGACACGCCGCCGACAATTTGGATTCAATACGCTCTAAAATTTTAATAATCCGTCTTGTGAGACACGCCGTTGACAATTTTGATTAAATACGCCCGTTTTAATAATCCGTATTATGTGCCTGATCCGGCAGCCGTGGCGGCCAATCGTCGGTAAGGTGGTCGAGCGCAGAGGCCTACGCCCCGTCGGGCGGCACCGGCGCGCCCCCTAGTGGGCGGCGAGGTATCACCTGCGGGCGAGCGGGCCGCCCCCCGGGGGGGCGAGGAGCGCGGCCGCCAGCGTGAGCGCCAGCGCGCCCGCCGAGGGGGCGAACCGGTGCGCCACGCTATTGTACTTGCTGCTCTGCTCGCACGTACCTGGAACGTTGTTCGCGTTCGTTACTAATTGGGATTGGTCTTCACTGTGACGGAAGGTCGTCGCTGTTGCACGAATGGGCAGGCCCGTCCGGGGAAGTACCACGACCGCACAGAATAACGCCGTGGTACTTCCCCGGTTATAATGGTTCTTCCGTGGTACTTCCCCGGTTAATAAGGTTATCAACGCATAAGCAAGGCAATGGGTGTGGCAAATGTCCATGGGCGGCGGTATTCATTTAACATCAGGTGAGCCACTCGCTTGAGAACTTTTCACTTGAAAAAAAAAAAACCTACATGCTGGCCTGTGACTATAAAGGATTGATACCCAGGGCCGTCACACTCAGTGTGTATCCGCACTAGGGATCCGCCGCTACACCTTATACTACGCTATGCAAGCAACGCTTGTACTATGGGTACTTAGAAAACTAATAAACATACCTAAACATACTTTTCTTTGGTGAATAAATACATATTATACATAATTAAACACCCAGACACCGGAAAAACACTATGTTCATCACACAACATTTTCAGTAGTGGAGATCGAACCCACACCCTCTGGGTCAAGTGGCAGGTTCACTACTGCCCACGCCAAGCGTTCCAAAGTAGATAGAGACCGTGATGGTCCAGCGTAGCAATCCGTAGCACACACAGTTGCAGCGAGACGTAGATAAACATCAGCAGCTGTGATAACGGATATTGCGATCCTTTGTAGCGGACCGCGTAGCACCGTGCGTAGCGTAAGGCGTAGCATGACACTTACCGTTACGGGTGAGGTTGTAGGCCTTGTCGCCGGCGCGGCCCGGAACTACTCTCCGATCGCACGAATGGGCCACCGCGCTTAGCGACAGCGTGGAGCCGCGTGTGTCTAAGGGGAATTGGGTTCGAATCAGACGACGAATCAAACATATACAGTTATTTATTGATTTCTATTGAGTGGGGTAGAATGTTAGAAATATTGATGAATATTGATGAATGTCAGAATATGTGACACTTGAAAAGTTTCAAGTGTCACATATTCTTTTGTTTAATAACTTAATTAATTAATATCCTTTCAATATACGAAAATCCCTAATAAATTGCAGATATTAATTTATATTACCTCTAATATTCAACTCAAAATGGTCAACTCTTTAAAATGTAAACATGAAACTGGTTATGTGACTAAGAAAAACTTTTTAAAAACTAAAAATGATTGTAAGTAGTACATATATGAGAGTAGTACATATAGGACGGGGTCCAGTTTAAGTTATAAACGCAATTAAAAAAAAAAAGTTTTTTTTTTTATTTCGATAAACGATTATACTACCGAGTCTGAACCCCCTGTGTGAATTTGGGCACCTTTGGAAAAGCCACCCTGTATACAGGTTCTGTGGGCACTAACCGTTGTGTGGCCGTTGCGTGTACATGAAGCAGAAGGTACGCGGGTGTGAGGAAGAGCGCGCCACCGGCGATGCGATGACGAAGCCCAGGGCCCCCTCAGTCCAGCTGCCGTGGCAAGTGTACGCTGCGGGCCGGGGTTCAAATCTATTATTATTGTCACTACACTAGCTGTTAACCGCGGCCCAAGGGAAGTTTCTATTACACACCGGAACATCTCGCAGATGGCTGAATTTTTTCCCACTTAGAGGACAGTTATCATTACCTATATTTTGGAAAATTCACACAATGTTTTTACAATTATAGCCTAGGTGTGATTCTGATGTATAAGCTAAATTATTGTAAAGTTTCATTAAAATGTGTTTAGTACACATTTTGCGTGAAAGGGTAACAAACTTTTGTAGAAGAGAAAATAAATATTCAGCGTGTCGTTACCACCGCGACAATAAATGAACACACGTCTAACGCAACTTGCCAGTAATCATAAAAAAATATTAACGTTAAAAATCCATAATTAAAAAAATATATTTTTCAAACAAACTAATTAAGTAAACAAAATTTGTAACATCCTATACAACTGCATCTGACTGATTCATACATTCAGAGACTTTTTCATTCGTTGCCACAGCGCCGCATTACAAGCCTCTCCTTCTAACAGTATGTTTTGTCTCTTTTAAATTCATTCAGCCCGTTCATATGCTTTGTGACCTTTACAAATGAACTTTACGTTACAGTTTTATACGTAAGGGTGTTCTAAAATACTTGTAAGTCTTTAATACAATTTAAAAAGTTATCCTCTATATGTGTGTTCATTTATTGTCGCGATGGTAAAGACACGCTGTATATACAAATGTCGTCAGTGACAATCAGTGGTCAACACAGTGATGATCTACAGTATTCAAATCTAGCCTACTCACGTGGGCCAAAATAACAGTATTATTTATTTATTTATTTATGCTTTATTGCAAAACCTTAAAAAAGGATTACAAAAGGCGGACTTAATGCTATTTGGGCATTCCCTCCCAGTCAATAATGTTGAATAATCTGATCTTTTAAAAAAAGAGCAACCTTTTCGTTCCTTGCCGGTCTCTTCTCAACAGAAAATACTTTCCGGATCGGTGGTAATTTACGTGTCAATTATTATGATAAATTCGGACAGGTGTTAGGACTTAGTCCACCAGGCGACCCCAGTGCGGATTTGACACATGCTTTTAATTATTTCGAAAATATGCAGGTTTCCTTACGATGTTTTCCTTCACCGCTGAGCACGTGATAAGTCAGCGCTTGAAATTAACAATTTCATTGGTGGCGGCACCGGGATTTGAACTTTTAGCCTCGAGCTCCTATATTGCATTAAAAGTGAGCGTCCGGACAATGTGCTATCACGGCTCACTCGTTTAAACGCTGCGTATTTGTAACATGCCGGGTGTAACAAATTTTTATTGGCGGCGTTAATCAATCGACATCCATCCGCTCGTTTGCCATCTCTTACCATAAAAAAGATATGCCAAGACAAGCATTTGCTAGCGTAACCGTAGCGGCATCGTAGCGGCGTTTGCATATGCCAAATGTTGACAACTTTAGCGTTGCGGGAAGGATGGTAAATTACCACCGTCTATATGCACAACAACCATCAGTTGAGGCGACTTCTCGCTTCCTACCTTCCCATATGAAAAAAAGTACTCGGTACAAGGTCACCTAGCCGAGGCACGCGTCACGTCGCGTATTACGAGTGTCGACGAGAGAGTTCACGCTGCAAATTAATCTGTGCAACGCGCCGTGACAGTGTCGCTCGAACCGCGTCACGTCACGTCACGTCACGTCTCGTCGCGTCACGTCACGTCTCGTCGCGTCACGTCACGTCACGCCACTCACCTTGGGCGGTGCAGTGCGACTTGAACTCGATCGTGTCCTGGGCGGCGCCGCAGCCGACGCTCGCGCTATCGTACTGCCCCGAAACGCACTCCGCCTCCCCCACACCGCCCTCCCCCTCGCCTGCAACGGAAACGACCACACCTCAGTCACACACCCTATACATGTCCCACTGCTGGGCTAAGGACCTCCTCTGTACAGAGGTGATTAACGCACAGTCCACCACGCGGCCCCACAGCGGATTGCAGACTTCAAATATCTTCGCATTTACATTATTTTTTACTAGCTTTTCGCCCGCGGCTTCGCTCGCATTGAAGCCCTTAAATAAATATCTTTCTTTAAAAAAAATTAACCAATTAAAAAATAGTCTATGTCATTTCTCAGGCTCTAGACTATCTGTGTATCAAATTTCATTTAAATCGGTTAAGTAGTTTTGGCGTGAAAGCGAGACAGACAGACAGAGTTACTTTCGCATTTATAATATTAGTATGGATTGAACTTTAGCAATTCCTGGCGCCATCTAGTGTACACACTTTATAGCATGAAACACCTTACAAAGATGTAGCCTTTGCTTTGTTTGGGAATAATTAAAAAAAAAAGCATACCAGGTGTAAAGTCTAACAGAGACAAAAACCATGGAAAAACGAGGTACCTATAGTGTCCTGCTGCCTCCTCCTTCGGCTGTCGGCCAAAGAGCTCACTACGGAGTACCGGCCGATGTTCGGGCAACGCATCGGCGTGAGAGAAGTCGCTGAAACGTCAAACGGGTACATTACAAAAGTGACAAGACAACACACATACGTACACACACAGAAATATATACATTTTAATAATGCCAGTATTATAATAAACTTAAAAATAAGCGCTCCTTTACGTATCTTTTTTTAATTTCGCAAATTATACATATATATACAATTGGAACGTTTTCTTTTTTGCGTTTTGATATTTTGTAATATCAGAACTGCTTTATTAAAACTATAAGAAGTATTATAACAACCTTTAACACAAACGATCCATTACGATTTTTTTTTGATTTTCGTAATCACGTGACGAAGCAGTTAAATCAAATCAATTATATCTTTATTCAAACAGACCCACCCTTGCGCGTTCTTACGAAGCGTCAGGATTTACATATAAAATTATATATAGGCTCGTAAGGCCAGAGAGACCGGGGCAAGAGACTCGACAGTTGCTCTATTTTTTTTTTATATGAGAAAGTGGCAAACGAGCTGACGGGTCACCTGATGTTAAGTGATAATCGCCTGCCCGTGGACATTTGCAACAGCCGTAGGGTTGCACATGCGTTGCCATTTCTTAATAAAGTGGGCCCCGGCTACCTCACTCACCAGACGAAACGCAGAAGTGTAACACTTCTACTTGAAGCCGGTCTTCTGTGAGGTCGTGGTACTAACCCGGACGGACCTGCCCATTCGTGCAACGGCAAACACTGTTGCGTGGCCTTACCACCAGAAAAATATCAGTTATATTTTTCAGTGCAGTAAAAGCATTCAGTGACATCGGCCGGTATATTTTGACATTCTTAACCGCCATCCAATTGACATAAGGTGTGGTGGTACGAGCATTAACCGGCACAACAAGTTTTATGACTCCGCGGCGCAGTCGCCAAGGCATTGGCTTCGGCGTCGGGGGTCGTGAGTTCGATTCTCACACGGGACAACTGTTTGTGCGACCCACAGTTGTTTCGCATCTCGGTGTTTGCCCGCGTGAAATTTATTTTTGTAAAACGCAGGACAGTGTTATCCTAGAGTAAGGGCAGTGTTGTTTTTTTTAAAAAAAAAATCCAAGAAATCCAAGGATGGGGATAACTCACTGATGAGCGTGACGTAGGGCTGCGGCGAGTCGTCCGCGCAGGCGTCCTGCGGCGAGTCCCAGAGCCCGACGCCCTGCTGCAGCTCCAGCACGGTGCCCCCGCGCCGGTGGAACGTCAGGCACACGTGGCCCGACTCGCTAAGACCGAAACGCAACCCTCACACCTCATACCTCACGTTCAGCGTCAAAATTTCGAGACCGCTGAACATCAGCCTACCCCGCAGACCACCACGAAGCACGATCCTGAGCCATACTTCACATTCAACGTCATTTCACCCAGTTCGAGTCAAGTGGCGAACCTAGCCCCAGAGACCGCCACGGTACTCACAATCGTAGTCACCATATCGGCCAGTTCGAGTCCACTGCTGGACATATGCCTCCCCCACAGACCACGAAGCACGATCCTGAGCCGTACCTCACATTCATGGTCACTTGCTAGCCCCAAAGACCGCCACGGTGCTCACAATCATAGCCACCATTTTGGCCAGTTCGAGTCCACTGGCGAACCTAGCCCCAAAGACCGCCACGGTGCTTACAACGCCACGAATCAATATCGTAAGTCACATCTCACAATCATCGTCATCACGGTTATATTGTGAGGGGTTGGGGGAGCGCCCTACACGGTATCTCACCATATCTCGCCATATCGGCGATCACCGGATCGGTAAATATTAACGTGACTCGCTGCTACTCTGTATTTAATCATATAGACTGTTGCGTGGTTCTACCACAGTTAAACGTATCATAGTTTGTACCGCGAAGTTTGTTATTAAGATTTATAATTGGTCCTTCGAGCCGGATAAAATGTCTAAGTAGCTTGGGAGAGTAGAAACAAGTTTAGAGTTTATTTACAAATATTGAAGTTGCAGCAGTAAATACCGATAAAGACTTCGTACAAAAACGATACGTTACAATGCTCTCGAGTATATTTTACAGTAAACTAGTTTTTGCTTCCAACTGTAAGAAAGCTCTTACCATCCCCTGGTGACGTGGGCCACCAACTTTATGTGCTTCTTGTCCTTCTGCTCCAGAATGGAGTGGCACACTAGCCTCTTCTCTTCGGAGGAACCTTTCTCGTCCATTATCTGCAATACATGACAGTTTCAATATAATTAGTGTACCCATCAATCACAAATGATTTCCAAAACTAATAATATATTCCACTGCTGGGTGGGACACAATGTGACCCAAAAAAGAGTTTTCAGACAACACATATCTTAAAAATATTTCTTATCTTTATTTTTAAAATATACAGGTTTCACCAAGATGTTTTGCGCACCGCTAATCACGTGATAAGTCAGCACTTAAAATTGGAATTACAATTTCATTGCCAATGGACACTTGTTGTATTTTATTATACCTTGTGTTATGGCAATTAATGTATTTTCATTTATTTTATTGTTGCCAGGACCGGTATTTGCGTTTTATACCTTATTCATTTTATATTTGATTTTGAGGGTCTGAACTGTGACTGATGTAAATTGATATGATGAGAAGCATAAACGGAACTCGATGCAAAAATATTTAAAATAAAATCGGTTCATAAATGACGAAGTTCCGAAATAAGCAACATAAAAAAAATCCAAATTGAGAACCTCTTGTTTTAAAGTCGGTTTTGGGCCACTAGTCTTTACTTGTCCCGTACCTTGAGGGTGGCGTTCTTCGTGGTGAAGTGGTATTGGTGCGTGTGGTCGAGGCTGAACCACTTGTGGTGCTCCACGATCCAGCCGGGGAAGTGGCAGCGGTTGTGCTCGTCGTCGCCTGCGGAATGCACAAAGAAAAGTAAAGTATATTATAACGTAGGCGTCTTCAAGGCAAGAGTGAATCGGCTTTTACTGAGCTAGCGCGCTTACCATCCACGGCTGCATCGCCACTTACCATCAGGTGGGATGGCAGTCAAGCGCTAGTCAGTTCCATATAAAAAAAAAATATAAATATATAAGTATCAGCCTATACATGTCCCACTGCTGGGCAAGGGACCCCTTTGTAAAGTGGTGTTTGGGCATCGTCCACCGCGACCCCACTGCGGATTAGCAGAGTTCACGTGTCTTCGAAAATTTTTTTTTATCATTTCAAACCTCACGATATTTTCTTTGATCATCAAACACGTGATAAGTAAGCACTTAAAATTAATATTTTCTTTGGTGCTGGCACGGCGAAATACAAAGTGAGCGGCCGGACACTGAGCTATCACGGGTCTGGATCAAACGTTTTTAGATATTCCAGTTTTATCATTTTAATCTTGGTTTAAAACACTAATTTTATTTATATAAAAGCAGAGTATGTTGGGCTTATAAATGGACAATCAACAATACACGAGGATTCACTAATTATATTAAAGCAATAAATAGTTTTTATCTATTCACTTAATCTGATTTTTTAAGGTACACCACTCACTGTTAGTAAGTTTCATGATTCGACTTCCGTCGGTTGGGGAGGAGAGACCATTGCACGTAGCGTCGCCTGACTGGGCTATGTTGTACGTCATGCTCTTGTCGCTGTGCTGGCCTTTGTAGATGAAGCATCTGGAACGTTCGATTAAAATAATCCGTCAATTGCGAACGTTTGATTGCGGGACGAGTGCGTTGCTTTTGTTTTGGGTCAGAAGTATTTAATGTACCTTGGAGAAAAATCGGGTTACATCTCAGTAAAAGTACACGATGTTTAACGGAAAAACAATGTCAACGACAAGAATTTCAGAGTACCGCGTGCGCTGGGAGCTAGAAGGAAAGAGATTTTGATTAGAGACGAATGGGATTCCCATACTAGCTAAGTCTACAGTCATTAGCAGTGACTCCAAGACTCAAGTTCATTGTTGTTATTAGCTAAGAACTAGAGTTTATATGTCACTCTAGATATCGATAACAACCTTACCTCGATATATACTGCCTTATAAAAATATGTTACGTTAGTAAATTTTCTTTAAAAGTGTCTTTCATTCAGTTTTCAATTTAAATATGGATCAATTCTGTATGAAATAAACTATTCCATTACGTTTTTGTAACGTTTATATATTGAACAGCTTATTTGAACTTCGTGTGTGAAGAGACTCATAAACTAAAAACTTTGCATCATTTAGTCAAACTAAGTGAATCTTCATTTTGCTTATAAATACCTGTACGTATCTTCATCGGATGCTATTGAGTTTCTCCTCTGGACCTGGGAGATCTGGCCCACCAGGTACCTCGTCGAGCCCTCCTTCCAGGTCGCCAAGCACACTAGTTCTTCGACTGAAAAGGATCATTAGAAAATTGGTCCTTCGAGCCGGACGAATGGCACCAAAAACTAAAAGTAATATGTTATCTTAATTGATATCACTAAAATGCTGTAAACTGTAAAGTAAACGATCGTTTTGACAGCAATGTACATCTTTATTAATTACTCATACCATTTTTTCTACGAGAGAAATGTAAAATAATCACTTAACACCATTAGAACAACTATTTCTGGATGTACCTTTTTTTTTTTTTTTTTTTTTTTTTTTTTTTTTTTTTTTTTTTTTTTTTTTTTTTTTTCCCGTGGGGAAATCCGTTATGGATACCAGGCCTCTCTCACAATAGAGAAGCAAGGTGATGTCGGACTCGCACCGACTAAAACCCCACGGTGGTCGTCATCAGCTGTCATGTGGGGTCACGGGATCTCCGTTTGGAACACTACCGCGGCCCCCCTTAGCTTGGCTTGAAGAGCCTCATCCCGGTAACATCATTTCACTGCACTTACCCCTGTGGTGTAACCATGATGGCTTGAACCTACTTCAAGCCATTATCGTCCTTAGGTTCGCTTTACTGAGCTATAGGCCCAGTCGCTCGCGATCCCTGAGGCGCCGATTCCGGTAGGGGAACACTATTTATACATGGAGGACCGTAGCGAGATGTACCCTCGCCTCGGTGACCCCGTCTCCGAGAGGGATCTGTCTTCTCTCGATCCCTCTCTGCAGCCTCCTTCTTGACCATTACGGTCTCGCAGAAAGAGGTTACGGCCCTCCACGCTGCATCTCCGCTCAACATCGCCGATATGATTGCTGGCAAAGAGAGGTTTCGTCCGATATACGTTACTAGGATATTCCGCTCCGTTTCCCATGCTGGGCACACCACAAGGGTATGCGTTGCGGAGTCCTGGTAATTTCCATCACAGTGAAAACAATTCGCCGTTGCCTCGCGACCGATTTTACACAGATAATCACCAAAGCATCCGTGCCCAGTGATTATCTGTGTAAGTCTGTAGGTAAGTCTGCCTTCCCGTCGCTGCATCCATGCTTCGAAGACTGGCAGGATGGCTTCAATAACGCGTTTATGTGCGTATTGTTCCTTACTGAGCCGATCGCGCCAGACCAGGAAAGCAGAGTGCCGTTCCTGCCGCTTGATGGACTCGAGCGCCTCTTCTGGCTCGTTACCACCGCTCTGACGGAGGGCGCGAATCCGATGGTACACCCTCGCGTCCATTTCCGCCAGTATGTCCAGAGGTGGAAAGCGAGCCAGGACAGTTGCCGCCTCAAAGGATATTGTTCTGTAACCTCGTACAATCCGTATAGCCATCCGTCTCTGGACGCTGTAAATCTTAGACCTACAGCGCCGGATGGCAAGCCTTTTAGACCATACAGGTGCCCCATATAAGGCTACGGATCGTACAACCCCTGCATAGAGGCGGCGAACTTCTTCATTTGGTCCCCCAAGATTAGGTAGCAGTCTGTGCATGGCACCCGCTACCCTCTCAATTCGGGGGACAAGGCGCTCGAAGTGTTCTTCGAAGCCCCAGCGACTATCTAGGATTAGGCCCAGGTACTTCATGTACCGACCTACCCTGACTTCAGACCCACCCACACAGACACACGTGTCGGGCGGTTCCCTTCCTCGTGGCATTCTATGGAACCACATGGCCTCGGTCTTATGTGGTGCTATTTCTAAACCTAAATCGTGAATTTTAGTCACGATGATTTCCGCCCCAAACTCAGCAAGATCTTTGGTCCTCTCGAAGGTGTCCCCGATAGCGACTATCAACGTATCGTCGGCATAACAAACGACGTTCACATTATTGGGCAGATCGACACGTAGGACGGCATCGTACGCCACGTTCCATAGTAACGGACCGAGGACAGACCCCTGTGGAACACCGCAATGAATCTTCCTCCGGATCTTGTTGCCGTCTTTATCCATGTATAAGATATACCTATCCCGCAAGTAGTCCGCGATAATGCCTTGCAGATAAGGGGGCACTTGATGGTAAGAAAGCCCCCCTATTATGGCATCCCAGGGTAGAGAATTAAAGGCATTGACAATGTCTAGACTTATCGCCAATGCTACACCACCCTGGCAAACTGCCTGATCCGACAGGAAGCGGACGCGCATGATCGCGTCTATCGTGGAACGCTCCTGTCGGAAACCAAACTGATATTCTGACAGATCGGGACCGACACGCGATAGATGCCTATTGAGACGAGCAGCAAGAATTCTCTCAAACAACTTGCCAATCTCGTCCAACAGGCATATGGGACGGTAAGCAGAGGGAGATTCTGCAGATCTGCCTTCCTTTTTTAAGAGAACTAATCTTGACTCTTTCCAGGCAGTAGGGAACGTGGAACTACGGAGGCAACTAGTGAATAATTGCCTCACCCTGTCCCCCAGTGCAATTAGGCTCAGCACCCAGACCCGACCCGGTATTCCATCGGGTCCTGGTGCATTGTTCCGGGCTCTTAAGCGGCTGGCAGCACGATCTAGCTCCTGGACGGTCACCCCCATCTCGTCTTGCCAATCCCACGGAAGTAGGCGAGGGTCTAGGGGACGTGATTGGTCTGCTGGGAATAGTACGTTGATCACTCGTCCCAGCAGGTTCGGATCTAACGTTTCCGTGAGGGGAGGCATCCAGGGCCTAAGCCTACCCAGCACCATCCTATAAGGACGCCCCCATGGATCTGCGTTGAGTCCCTCCAAGAGCTCAACCCAAGCTCGAGTCTTGGCATTTGTGATTGCGAGATGCAATGCCTTCGTAGCCGCTCGGTAAGCTGTATAGAGACTAGCTGTCTCCTCAGCCGTTGCTCGCCTTCTTCTACGGGCTCTGGTATATTGGCGTCTGCTCCGCAGACAGACAGCGCGCAGTTGAGATATTTCCGCCGACCACCAATACACCGCCTTGCGCTTCGGGCTACTTGCCCGGGGCATTGACACATCACATAGTTGAGTCATAGTGCTCCGAAACCAGGTTGCTTCTCTTTCCGGGGTCGGACGAAACCCCTTCAGTATCTTTAGACCATGCAGCAACATTGGCGGCAGCTTCGAGAAGGTCCCGATTCAGTCGCTTGAGACACCAACGACGTGGTGAGCTGCTATCACGGTGACTAGACATAGTATTTGGGCGTCGGGGAGCGATCTCAAAAATGATGTGACGATGGTCAGATAGCGTGACCATCTCCTCCGCAACCCGCCATCCCGATACCAATTGTGTCGCAGAGGGAGATGCCCATGTCAAATCAACAATCGACTCCCCCTGCCACCGCACACAGGTACTGACGGAACCCCGATTCAGTAGTCGAAGGTCCAGTCCAGCCGCCCATTCTTTTAAAGCCTCCCCTCTCGAATTGTTTCTGGGGTTCCCCCACTCCCTGGCGTGGGCATTAAAGTCCCCGAGAACAATTAACGGGTGAGGTGGGCAACTGCGAACACAATCCGCTACCTCGTCCAGGTACAACTTGTAGTCGGCGAGTAACCCATTAGGAGTGACGTAGCAACCAACGATGACCAGGGTGCCCCAGTGCACTGCAACAAAACCCTTCCCCCTTTTCAATAGGGTGCAGGGTGGGGCATTCTGGATGTACCTAACACTCGTAGTTTACCATTACGTTGCTTTAAGTTGGTACTTTGCGTATCGTTATAACGATCAATGCAAAAGTATAAAAACTTAACGTCAGTGGTCACTGTGCATAAGTTCTCTGTAAAGTAGTATCGAAAAGAGAAAATTTTTCATATTAGTCGGACTTTGCAACAACAGATGCTGCCGCATCGCTCTACCAAAGCATAATTCGTACTTTTTTATATGAGAAATTGGCAAGCGAACTGGCTTTCACCTGATATTAAGTGGTAATCACCGCCCATGACATCCGTAGGGTTGCGGATCTGTTGCCATCTTGTAATAAAGTGGGCCATCTTATAATAAAATGTAACACTTCTACTTCAGGTCGGTCTTCTGTGAGGTCCTGCCCATTTGTGCAACAGCGACATGTTGTGTGGCCCTACCACAGTAGATCATGCTAATATGCATGCAATCCATACTAATATTGTAAATGCGAAAGTAACTCTGTCTGTCTCGCTTTCACGCAAAAAACTACTGAACCGATTTAAATTTAATTTGGTACACAGATAGTCTAGAGCCTGAGAAAGGACATAGACTATTTTTTTATTGGAAAAAAGCGTTGTAACGGGTTGAAAATATCTTTCTTTAAAAAATATACATGTTTTTAAAAGAAAGATGTTTATTTAAGGGCTTCAACGCGAGCAGAGCCGCGGGCGAAAAGCTAGTATCAAATATATTCAGAATTTTAGACAGCTTTATAAGTATAGAGGTTATCGCTCACCGTTGCTTTCAGTCCCAGGCACGTCGGGGCAGGCCATGTACCTCAGCAGAAGGCGGGAGTCATCTGTGCATGACTCCGCCCGCGAAGGCGGATTGGCGCAGTCCCCGGAGCCCCTGGTTGAAATATACATTTGAATAAAAAATCACTCATATGTTACCGAGAAGTCTTGGTGTTAATTTTTCATATCGAAAACTGTTTTCCTCTTTCAAAAATGTTTCTTTTCACGAGGAGAACATTGATTTATGCATAAGTAATCAATTACATTCATTTATATTGATAGAAATGGACAGTATTTCGCGTAGAACCGTACAGTATTGTTTACATTCATTAATCTTACGGAATATAATTATTAAGTTAAAATGTACCGAATTTAAAAATTAGACATATAGCTGGAATGTTTCTCTACAACCTCTTCCCCGCTTTCGCTCAGCACAGTCCGACGAATTAGGCAGCTACTATTATCTAACGAGGATGAGTGGGTATTTCATTGTGTTTTCTGGATATTGAAGTGTACGAAACTATTTTTACGCATTTAGCGCATTTGATTCAAACTTTAATTTCCTATGTTTCGAATGACAATGCATTTATATATTTAACATAGGTACTGAGGCTTTGAACTTTGTATTTTTTTTATTTGACAAGTTGTCAAGCGAGCAGGTGAACCGTCACCCGATATTAAGTGAATACCTCCACCCATGGACACCTAAAACACCTAATTGCAAATACGTTGACAACCTTTGAAAAAATGGGCCCAGGATACCTCACTCACCAGACGAAAAGCAGAAGTATACCAATTTCCACTTCACGCCGGTGCACTCTGAGTCCGTGGTACTCCCCGGACGAGCCCGTGCAACAGTCAAAGCTGCTTCTTGGCCCTACCACGGTTATCCGATTGGACACAAAATTAAAAATTTTAAAACTGACGTTACTTTGGTTACAATGACATTCAAACTCCTCAGATTATCTCGCTACTATCAACGCGAAAAATACGTATAGACACTTTCATTAACTAACATAGAAGGGTACTCCATCGGAGACCTCAATCAGATGATTGGGCTATGTATACGACAGGAGTTAGAGTTGTATGTCTGTATGCCTTACCGGCTGTAAGTGAAGGTGAACGGCGCTGGATGAAAGGGGCACGGCTGCGGCACCGGTCGCGGCTCCTTGCGGAACATCGAGTACAGGGGGGCATCCCCGCTTATTGACTCGCATATCGACGACATGGAGTCCTTCTCCGAGCAGAACGCTGGATAAATTCATAGATAGTTTTTTGTTGTTAAAAGTTGGCAAGCAAGCGACCTGATGTTAAGTGATTAGCGCTGCCCATGGACAACTAAGAAAAAAGTGGAGTGCTAATTATACTTTTCTCTTTTTTAAATGTGTAGTTAGAAATTGTCGAAAAAATTTTTATCGCTGCCAGGATTCTAACCTGCGCCTTCCTGGATAGCCCCTAAGCTAAGCTATCGATATCCTCACCGCGCAAAAAATCTCGACTTCTTATCTACTTTGTTTTTATCACATTTTTCGCCAGTGACCTTCCTTTATGGCAAGCAACTTTTCCAAATGCCATTTTTACAATGAATATTTGAATACTAGAGGAATGTCGCTTTTGTTATTAATTATCTTCTTAGCAGTTGCTTTACAGCTTTTCATTGGTGTACTTAAGTATAATCTAATATAAAAATTACACAATCTACCTAATATAAAACGTGTTTTAAATAAGGCGCTCTGTTTCGTGGTGGTCCTCATAACACGGAAAACTAATAACACGGCGTACTATGACAATTTTTGAGATGAACTTATAAAGTTAACGTTATATTTTTTCCCGAATGAATTACGATAGTAATTAAACACCCAAAATAAAAAATAAAAGACCCTAAGCCAATAGAAATAATTTCTTTTGCCAGTTGAGTCCTAGGACGAAGTTTGAGTCATTGGTTTTTTGGGATCCATTACTGACGAATTTGTCATCAGTTAGGATCTTTTTTATCCGTTCTAATTTTGTTTTTTACTTTAATCATATATTATAGCTTTGAAGAAATCATGATACAGTATTACATATAGCTATAAATATAGTACAGATAACAACAGCAGATAGAAAACTCACTTTCTTTATACTGCAGAACATATTTATGTTTCTCTAAGATCACCATGCATCTGTAGCACTCCTCTCGTCTGAAAATAGAAAAAAAATGTAAACATTATCTAAACGCTTTATAAAACATTTGTGTGCATGACAACGAAATGATTTTACATAACTGAAACGACGAAATCCTTAAACAAATCTCAAACAAATCTGAGCCAAAATCTAAAAAATATAACGTAGTTGTAAAAGTTTAGCATACAGGTAGTTTTATAGCAAACAAACCGACCTTGAAATCGATTTAACATTTTCAGTGCATGTTTACACAGCTAAGAGTCATTGTCTCGACGTTCACACTATTATCACACTATTATAGGAACACTATTATCACACTATTATAGGAACACTATTATCACACTATTATAGGAACATGGCTACAAACGAAACGTTGTTCGAAAGCCAACGATAAGTAACACGCGCGCCAACAAGTAATTGTATGGAGTCATGTCACGATGAGAGATCCAACTTTAAAAAACTGATTACAGTCCTTCAGACAACGTCATTTAATTTGTCAAATAATAGATAAAAAACGAAATAATAAAATGTTTTGCTTTATTGACACGTTTGTTAAATAAAACATTTCAAAGTTCCATTTGCACTTTCCAAGATTTTCGTAGAGCAACCATTAAGAGCTGAATCTTCAGAAAAAGTGTCGCCAGTTCTAGTATGAAGCTGATAGCGTCGTTTTAAGGTAAAAAGTAATAAATAAATAATATATTTTCAAAATAAATTCTTACTTCGCAAGTAATTTCTATATGAAAAAACCTAGGTTCCGTATGTTTGTATACACAAAAATCTAAAACTGAGCGATGGATTGAATTGATATTTGTTCACAACATAGCTATTGAACATGAGAGTATGTTTATATACTTTTTATTCCGAAGCTCCAACAGAAACGAAAAATAAACAGAAAGCAAAGCGTGGCCGGGTTCACATAAAAGTAAAATAACAACAATAACGACGACCCGAATGGCGTGGTAGGTAGTGTACCTGCCTTCTGCGCCAGAGGGTGTGGGTTCGATCCCCACTACTGGAAAAATATTGTGTGATGAGCATAGTGTTTTTCTAGTGTCTGGGTGTTTATATATGTATAATATGTATTTATTTACAAAAGAAAAGTATGTTTTAGTATGTTTATCAGTTTTCTAGTACCCATAATACAAGTGTTGCTTAGTTTGGGACTAGAGAACATTGTGTAAAAAATGTGTCCCAAATATTGATTTTTTTTAATTGATAACAAAAAAACTCGTAGTACCTGTCGTAGAGCAGAAACTTGTCGTAGGACTCGCTCTCGTAGCACTCGCCCTTGGACTGTATGTGTGTAGAGTTGATCGCGATGAGACCGGGGTTGCCGGATTGGAACCAGCTACCCGTCCAGTCGGCGGGGAATGTGCATCCGCCGCCTGTGAAATTGGTGAAATCTAAATTAGCGCAATTGATCAAGAACACTCAGTGACAAAATACCGAGATGGAGTGATGTCGTTGTTTCACTGGGGGCTTATTTAAAAAAATGCCTAACATAACTAATTTCTAGCTGCAAAGAAAACAAACTTAATTTTTGTTATCTTAAAATACTTTTCGTCAAATCGTAACAAGTAAAGAAAAAAAAAAAACAGTGAGAAGCATTGAGTGAGGAGAGAACACGAGAAAAAGGAAGTAACATCTAAAAAATATGACGTCGTCCTTACGCTGATATCCATTTCAAATTATGTTTCCATTATTGCAAAATAAAGAGTCAAAAAATCACGGGTAACGGTAAATAATGGATACTTTATATAGATAGACGTAGGGTAGACACATAACTGTTTCAACCCTGCCTATGTCATCAACTGATAAATAATAGTTTTATATCCATATGTAGCGTCGTTTACCGTTTGTTGATACATGGATAGCTTAAAATGCAAATTTTTTTATATTTAGAAAAGGTTAAGATAACGTTAACTTAGCGATAGATATCTGATTACTTTAACGAACGGATAGTTAAAGTTCCGTACACGAGGCACGAAACGGAAATAATTTTGCATTGTCATCCAGTTCCGATCTACGTTTTAAAGTTTCAAGTCTCTGGCTCGTCGGGAAGTTTGTTTAAAATCAATCACAAAACTTGTGCTGAAAAGGCGGACGGACAAGAAGCGATTTAATCGAAAAAAAAAAAAAAAGTTGTAAAAACTAGACTTTTTTGACCACGGAGTTTCATTGAATTTATCGCGGAGTTTAATCGGTTTCAGCTGTTGCGTATTTGAACGCTCGCATATTAACAGTGCCGTCGTTTTGATAGATCATCGATCGACCTAAAACCGGTCGGTAGTCTGGACCCGATGATTTATCGCAACCGCACGTGCACACCGTCCAAACTGCGGACCGCAGCGGAGGCCGTTCTCAGCTAACGACACGACGACTACAAGGGGTAACTTGTTTGGCCCCGCGCCATCCGATCCGGCGAGAGCGTCAAACGAAAACTAAAGACGTTACGCGATATAGGACTGTTGCGGACGCCTCTACCCGTGCAAAGGACGCAGAATCCCACAGGCCCTGGCATCCTGAATCCCCAACGCCTAAACATCGTCCGTCCGAATGCTTTGGCGACGACTTTAAATAGTTTCATTCGTACACTTGTCTTGTTGGGGTTATCATTAAAAGTTTTGACTTAAACGTTGTGAGGAATATTCTCAATATTCCAAGGGGATAGTTTCTTACGCGTCTGATCATGAATACTGTGAAGTATTCACAAGCAAGGGGAATTAAAAAAAAACTCGATCAAATCCATAAAACTGTTTTATTCTCGCTTTTATTGTTGTAGTATATTCTTCTCCTTCTTATAATTAACGTGAATGTTTGTATGTCTTTCCTCTTTGCCTTTCTACACTATTCATAGAATTTTGATGAGTTTTTAAGCGACTTTTATTTCACGCCCTGGATGGTTCCGATCCGATGTTTGTCCCTTATGTTAAAAAAATTATTGTAAACGCCGTTTTTCTTTATGTAACATTGCACACATGCTGGGCAATGTAAGTAAAATATACACTGAAAAGTAAGCGAATATTTTTCAACACCGACGTCCGATTCTTAGTAGGGTAGAACATTCAAATACGACGCAGTCCACTAAACATTTTTTTAAAATTGACGGTTTAAAAAATGCAATTTAATGGAGGCCGTCGCTTGAGCCATTTGGCGATAATCTCACTGACGTCATACTGCCACCGTTGCGGTCACCGCCGTTACACTAAAGTAACGACACTAGCGTAACTGTACTGTTGTAATTATTTTTATATCAAAATATTTAACGGATTATATCGAAATTAGTTTGTTCTTAAATTCTTGAAGTTTAAAGTTCACACAGTTACGCACTTAAAACAATAAAAGATAGAGAAATGACGAGAATTGGTAAAAAAACGATTGAAAGCGTAGCAAATTAAAAAGCCTTTAAAATAGCTTTATTTGACCATGTCTATGAAATTATTACAGCAATTAAAATAGACTCTTCATACATTTTCAATATATATGTATACATTAAAGAGTTATTGGTCATCTACCGGTCGGAAATAGAGTTCGAGTTTCAATTTATATGCACTGATTAATATTGCCTTTCTCTTGAGGTTGAATAGCTTGTTCATGAACATATTTTAATGCGCATTCTTATAATATGTATTTCAAAGAATGTAGCAACGTAATATGGTAGCGACGCGACAAGGAAACGAAGGAAGGATTTTAAGTGCCTTTCAGGAAAAAACTTTCGCTCTCATGACGACTTGGGAATATTGCTCCAACAATGAAAATGTATCAGCTGTAGAAACGCAACAAGAGCACGCCATGTTGAACGAGACTAATAAAAAAACGGCCAAGTGCGACTTGGACTCGAGCACGTAGGGTTCCGTACGTTCTATGAAAACGGCAAAAAATCATGTCTTTTGTATGGGAGACCACTACTTAAATATTTTATTGTTCTGCTTTTTAGTATTTGTTGTAATAGCGGGAACAAAAATACATCATCTGTGAAAATTCCAACTGTCTAACTATCACGGTTCATAAGATACAGCCTGGTGACAGATGGACAGACAGACAGCGGAGTCTTAGTAATAAGGTCCCGTTTTACCCTTTGGATACGGAACCCTAAAAAAACATAAACGCCGCTCCGCGAACCCGGTATAGTGTTGAATTTCAAATGGCTCGCCCTGTGAATGGCGGGCCCTTCGTAGAAAAACCTAGGCGAACGCGTTTTGTTAGGGGTGCAAAACAATGGAACTTAGGCACGTTAATAGACTGCCTGGATTGCATGCGAACGCTTTGTTGTACGATTCGCATTTAAAACCACAACTATAATAAAATTAATATTGAAAGGGGAAGTTCCCCTTTGATGGTCCAAGGCGAGGGGCAAAGCGTTGCAAAGTTTTAATTAGAGTAATTAAATTTTTAATTAGTAATTTTATTATTATGTGGCAACATAATTACTTTTAAGCGCGTGCTTCTTTTTAGACGCTATTCTAAAGATGAAGAAATATATGTTAAGTTCATGTGCGTTTATTTTTTTTATCGTTAATTTTGAACCAGCCAGAATCAACAACGGCGTATAGCTAAGTATTTATCCAAAGTAAGGCCTGGGATAATTCACTTGTCGTTTTCTTGGTAGCCGCATCAGAACCAAACACAAAAAGGTTATTTTGGTGGACATGACACCTATTTCACACAGGACACCTAATTCCGATTAGACGCGTACGAGTGCGTTAAGCCTAGTTGTTTATTTTTATATGTCCCACTGGTGGACTCGATGGCGATGCGAAATTTCTATTTTCACGAGCCCCACAGCAATTTGACTCGATTGTAGTTGAAAGTGGACGTGACTTCTACGCCAGAGGGTGCGGGTTTGATCCTCACTACTGGAAAAATATTGGGTCATGAACATAGTGTCTTTTCAGTGTCTGGGTATATATCTATAATACTTATTTTTTTACAAAAATCGTAGTACAATATTTGCTTAGTTAGGGACTAGATAACTTTGTGAAAAAATGTCCTGATTTTTTTTCATCATTAATTCTTTGAATAACTTCGACTGATAAAATAATACAAAGACATTTTGCAATGTATGAAAATCACCTAAGATTTCAAACTTACTAGGGAAATATTTGTATAGGGCTTAAGCTAAAGCTTAATTAAGTCGTCAAACACTAAAGTACGCATTAAAAGGTTTAGATACAGACGAGGATGCGTTTAAACAGGCACATTGAATTTGTTAATAAAGATAACAGTAAAGAAAAGAGAATATTGAATTAATTGTTATAAAGGCCCATTTACACGATGCCATTTTCTTGTACATACAAGAGCAATAATTGAATACAATAAATTGCGCGCAATAATTGTTTAGACCATTTGTTGTTTAGACCATGCAACTCATTTATCGCTTCAATTTAATTGTATACAACAGGCAAGAAACTGGCACCATGTAAATGGGCCTTAAGACGAAATTTTCAAAGTAAAATTCTTAGTTGTTTTTATACATTTGGTAATGAGTTACCAAACGACAAAACGAATTAAAACCATAACAATATAATTTGTGTATATGAACTTCTCATTCTGTGCAACATCTAAGTTTAGTGTAAAAAGGTGAATATTAAAGCTATATAATAAGGCTTAGTACATACCTGCCGATAACGGCATTTGTTAGGAAAATAATTCTATAAACGCTTTTTATAGAGCGAACGGTGCATGCTGAATTACGTATCGCTTCAAGCCAAATCGCTACCGCCTATGAATCGCGCCGCGCAAATGCATTTATAATAGACGGGCCATTGTCGCCCGAAGCTTTGTTTTAAAGTCGACTGCGGCCACCAGGTGTCCGCCGCTAGTGCGGGGCACCGCATGCGTGGGGTTCCGACGCCCATTGTCGGCGGTTCCGTAGGCGATATACAGTTATTTCTCGTTGCCGTGCTAAAAGAAATGACCCCACAAAAACAATCGATCAAATCAATTCCGATTATATAGACTGCGGTTGAACCAAACAGCCTGTGGCACGAATGGGCCGGCGAAGTACCACGGTACGCCTTAGACAGTTTATGCGGAGAAAGTGTTTGTTTATTTATTTATTAAGGTCTATCTACAAAATAACACGTTTTACATTTTATAACACGTTTATTAATAACACGTTAAGAATAACCTGAGTTCATAATGCTCAACATACAAATTCAATGCATAAACAAAACTGCAACATATTCGGTGTAAACTGCAACACTATTTACATATAACTATGTATGTTACTTTCGCATATTTCCTGTTGATTGAGGCCCAATTATTTTATGTTGTGTTGTGTTTCATTGGCTGGCATTAAATATTTAACATCAGGAGAACCTCCTATATGCTTGCCCCCTTCCAATATAAAAGAAAAGAACGAAGAAGAACATTTAGCTTTCGTGGAACTTAACTAATAGCCCCGAAATTAATTAGGTATAATCTTTGTTGCATTCGTCTCCATCACCCCCCGGGGAAAGGAGGACAGAGTACTCCACCAGGATCCTTGCACGCATCATTGGTGCTAACACGTCCCAAACATCAAGTCATATCTGGCCGTCGGCGTCGGTTGTTTTAATTTTTATCAATCCGAATTAAAATTAAAAATAAACCGTAAAATTAGTTTCATTTTATCAATATGCCCGATAACGTAAGTGAATAAATAATACAAACATTTCAAATAAAACTACTAACGAGACACGTGACTAGTGATGGTCTCTAAATGTCAAAAATTGCAAGAATTAGTTTTATTCAACAATGTGCTGTATTTATGTAAACTCAATAAATTATTATATGTAAAAATGACTTAAGGAAGTATGTCTATGTGTAGAACCAGTATTCTTGCGTCGAAAACTTAGTACGTATCGACAATATAAGCTGTATTGAGCACAATTCATATACGATGCGCACGTAACACATAGCACTATCTATGATTAATCAATTATAAATAGCACAGCCCCCGTGTAAATGAATCGTTGCCATGGTAAATCTAGTCTAAGATATATTAAAAAATACGAAAGCCTGCATATGGCCACTAGAGCGTAATGTCGATTAGGCAGACTTCTTTCCTCAAGAGTGTATCTCAAGCGTCTACATTATATATCCACACAGTGTTAACGTGGACCGGGGATTTTAAACGGGGTAATTTCTAAACGATTTGGATCGAAGTTCCTTATCGCGCGTTGTGAAAGGGGGCTAGACGGAAAAAATTCTCACGAAAAGTTGTAACGACACTTTTTGCTATAGTAAGCTATTGTAAGCTGTGCGGCGTGCGCATGTTTCTCTGTCTGTTGTTTGTTTGTCAGACAGACAAACATGACAGTTTCTAGAGGAAGAATTTGATTTAAGAATTAACAATAATCCAGCAGAATCAACAACAAAATATAATACTACCATTGATGCAGTTTTTGCAAGACATTTAAATAAAATAGAATCCCAAACATATGTTTCCTACATCAGTTACCACAAGCCAATTATTACTAAAATTGAGCCTACTGATTAAGTTTATATTACATTATATTTGTTAATAATAAAAAAAATATTATTATAACTTAAAAAAAAAAAATTTATTACAATTCCTTCACTAATTAATCGAAAGGAACTGCGTTCCATCCGGTTGTCCCTTGACACCTCTCAATGTTGTTTTTATTTTAAAAACATTGTCCTTACTGAAGGTTTTAGAAAGCTTTACACACATTAGTTTCACGTGGAAAAACACCCAAATCCGATACAAAATCTGTATCGAACCCACGACACCCGGCGTCGAAGCCAATGGCTTGGTATCTGCACCACGGGGTCATCAAATAAATATAAATAATTTTTTTAGGAACAAATTTTTACACAACGTTCTCTAGTACCAAACTAAGCAACGCTTGTACTATAGTATTGGACTAACTAGATAACTGATAAACCTACTTAAACATAGTTTTCTTTTGTAAATAAATACATATTATACATATATAAACACCCAGACACTAGAAAAACAGATGAACATAGTCATTACACAATATTTTTCCAGTAGTGGGGATCGAACCCACACCTGCTGACGGAGGGCAGGTAGGTACACTACCCACAACGCGATTCAATTCGTTCCTACATCGTCGGACTCATCGTTCGGATTCAATAACTGCGGATCCCCAAACCGGCGCGTGGTATCACCCCTATTGTTTTTCATCGCGTACCCGCGGAATTCGTAATATCGGATTGTCTGGCCGATATCCGGACCCGACGGGCGTATCGGCCTCTAAAATTATTGCCGTGAACGCTTGGAATTAAAAAAATAGGGATGATGCGAATTACCCGATTAATTATCGTCGATTCTTCTCTCGAGTGAGGTGATCGGGGAGCAGATCCTGTTTTTTGTATTACATTTGATGTTCAATAATTATCTAAAGCTAAAATACGAGTATGTGTAAAAACAGCCTTGGTATCTTACTTTTAACACAACTGAATAAGCTTATCTATAAATAGTGTTAAATGCATGATATCAATCTGACAGCAATCCACCAAGTCTTAATCTTAAAGAAACCAAGTATAATATTCGCGTAAAAACATGAAATCTATATGAGAAAAGGCTGAACCAAAATAAATTTAGTCTAAATATTGTTTTTACGTTTGCTCTGATTAGTAGAACTAAGTTCGTAATGTTCGTAACTATTACCTTTATGTTAACAAAACGATTGTTGATCTGTTCTGACTGACACATAATAGTGGTAGTAATTCGTTGACAATAAAAATGTTGAAGCGATCGAAGCCACGAAGTCTTATTAACTTATAAAAAGTATAATAATCAATAAACACGTTTAATTATTGTTTTCAATCAATTTAAATCACAAAACAAAAACGGCACGGAGAAAAATAGAAAAAAATAATAATCATAAAACCATAAGAGATAGTTAATTTAATTAATCACTCAACGATCGCGCGCGTTTCACAAGAGCGGACAACACTAGACCGGCATCGGGCAGTGTCATTTCGTGAAACAATTAATTATTGATTTTAATTAAATTTAAACTGCCCCCGCGGGCCTAAGTGATGGCGGCGGTGGCGTCGATAAAACAAATTGAATCATTAAAATTGTCAACAATTAGCGCGGAGCGGCGCCTGCAGCGAGCAAGACTATTAATCAACTCCGAACAGACGAATGGAATCGAGAAGATAATGTCAGTGAATCTTCGAGAACCCTTGGGCGGTTTCTCTTCTTTCCTGAGATTCAGGGAAAACTTTCGATCTTGTCTTATCAACGCTGTTGAAGTACGACAGCTTCGGTGTAGTGTCTTATTCAATGGTCTTACGCCCGGTTTCTGAAACACTGATCATAGTAGAAGTTAACTAATCAGCTGTCAAATGGCTTTTCAAATGTTAGAGTTGCCAAAAAGATGGTTGAACTCTCTTAATTGATCAGAGTGATCTTCTTAATGATGAAAAGCCGTTTAACTGTCAAATGGTTAGTTAACTACTACGATGATCAGTGTTTCAGAAACCTAGCGTAAGTTTCTCAGCATTCACCCAGCAGTTCGCTTTTTACCATGCGTGTCTCTTGGCGTCTGTGCCTATGCTTACATTTCGAAAGCTTTTTAAAACGTCCACCCTTGGTAATCTCAATAATGTGCTGCATAGCCTTTCTTCAAAAACCAAATTAATGATTACGTCAAATTAAAACTTTACATTTGTTGATGGTTTAACAATGTACAAGCGATTAATGAATGTCCATGGCACTGAAAAGCTTGGAGGTAAGCTTAAAGGTTAGCTGATATGTATCGTGTAATTACTGAGGTCGGTTTGACAGCACCGGCGAAGGTAGCATTCAAAAGAAGAGATAAGAGGCGAACGGCTTTAATTTGCAAACCGCCAACGTTCACAATTCAAAGGTAGAGATTAATTGATACCGCATAACTAAGTGTTCTTTCAACGATAACGACGCAGACCAATCTGTTGCAAGTTTACCTTGCTGCAAAGAACTATTCATTAAATCTCAATAACATTTACTGAATTTAACTAATTAAAAAAAAAGAGAAAAAAAAAAAAAAAAAAAAAAAAAAAACTAACAATAAAAAAATAAGGGTAAGAACCTTCAAACCCGTGTCAACGACATTACTCAAACATCAAAAAATACGCGTTGAATATAAATCTCTTTTTGATGCACTAAGAAACGAGAAATGGCGACAAAGTGACAACTAATTCATAGGCCCACCTTAGTAAAAGCTGTTTGGCGAAGTGAGTCGTGGGTTCGATTCCGACGCGGGACAAGCATTTGTGTGACCAACAGATAGTTGTTCCGGATCCGAGTTCATTCCCAAGGAGGGTTGACGACAGACAGGCGGCCGGTCGTGAGAACAAAAAAACATTATCAAAATTATTCACACGTTGAACCGACCCTTTGGGCATCAAACCCGGAGGCACAACACACTCGAATTGTTGGAAAAGTGACCGCCTCAACCAGTGCACCATTCGTGCTGTTAAATTATTTCCAATACTTCGTCTCGTCCACTTTGAAGACATTGAAGACATTTGGATGTATAAGCACTCATTGGCCAACCACTTGTCACATTTTTTAAATAATTTAATCATTTGGTCATATTAATACATATGACTCTAATCGGTACAATGATATAGATTATTTACAATACCTTGTCCACTTTGAAGGCAACGAT